TGAGGAATTCAAGCTGTGAGGAGCGCCTAAAGGCCGGCTTTTTTTGAAAGCAAAAAACGAGCCGTCCATCGAGTCGCAGATCAAAAGCCCAAAGAACGGGCTCAGAAAGTTGCGCATGGCGTCTGACAGTATGGTAAAAAAGCACAATGGTTCTACTGGGCATCCTACCTGTCCTTTGCATGGGGCCTGCCACAGCTTGCAAACTTTTATCGCAGTATTCACCCTCCTTGAGGCTGCCATGTGGTTGAGGGGCTAAGCTATTCTGATTCTGCAACTTGGGGCTGTGTGGATCTGGCTAGAGCTACGATTGTTGCTTGGGGTGTGCGCATCTCAGTTGCTGGACACGTCCGAGACTGCAGCTCTTCGAACCGTCCGCTGACGCGCTTCTTCGGAAGCGGTGGTACCTGAGGCTCCATGCTCAAGACGTCTAAGGCCTACGGCTTCTGACTTTTGATGGTTGAGTGGTTCTGAAATCAGCTGTCGTTTCCTTCACGTCTCCTCTTTGGGAAGGTCGCTAAGGTCGTGGCTCGGATGCCTGGGAACTGGGTCGTGAGGGCTTTCCGAAACCACTCGAAGTCGCTGTACCGCCTGCCAAGTCTTCCACGCTGTTGAAGCTTGTCCATTATATTTAGGGTTTAGGGTTTAGGGTTTAGGTTTTAGGGTTACCCACGCAATCTCGCGCAGGTCACGCTTGCTTCCGGACAAGCACGTGGCCACAGGGGCGCGCGCACGCGCGCGCCTCATCTTTGTACAAGCTTAGTGTGCTCAACCTGTGTGTGTTTTTTGCGCAAGCTCAGCTCAGCTTATTCAGCTTCGTGAGGCTTCAGGCACTCTTAGCTATTCTCAATTTCGTGCAGGTTTGGCAAATTTAGTTAACGATTGAACACAAAGCCATACAACACTCAACATGGGCACGAGAATCGTGGATGTGTGAGTATAGCTGACCGAGGCTTTTGCAAAATAGGAATCAACTACTGTACTATATTCAGTAGCTGTATATATTTATGTCCATATATATATGTATATATGTATGTACACAATTGACAATTGTGTATATACGCAACCAGAATCAAGGCCCGCCTTCGGACGGAGAAAGCGGGCCTGTCCTGGAGGTGTCCGCGGATCAAGTAAGTGGTGTGCTTCCTCAGCTCTGCCCCATGCTGAAATCCACACTCAACTGGCTCATTCCGTGGTGTTCGGGATCGAAGCTTATTAAAAACTCAGGCTTCAGTTGTGTTGATGTTGGGTTCTAGCTTTAGCACGCAGTCTTGAAATCGTAATCTCCGCTGCCCTGTCTCATCAAGATGTTGAAGGTGGGGGTGTAAATGGTGGTCTTTCTGCCCGCACACGTGTTGGGGTCGGGCAGGTCTCGGTATCGAGTCTCGATTGCTCTGCATTGGAGAAGCCGCAGAAGATCAGTTTCATTGTTCCGGAGCCAGCGAAATAGCTGGTTGTCGCACGTGTACATAAGCCAAACAGCAGTTGCATTCGAAGTGTTGACAATGTTGCGTCGTAATTGTCACTTACACTGCGCAGGTGGAGCCATATCACAACACATGGTCCCAATGAGGTCTTGGCAGCCGCGCTCTCCCCTGCAACTGAGACAAGGGCGTCATCGTGCTGCCGACGGTTTCTGGGTCACGAACAGAGACCTGCCGATTACGGACAAACAGCCATGCTACTGATACCCTAAATCAAGCATCTTACCATAAGTACGGGTCCGGCGCCAAATCAACTTGAAGAGCAACCAGAAACCTCCCAAGCTTCATTCGTCAACTTCCCCGGCCTCGCCACAAGGCGCACCGACAGTGAGGAAAGGCAAGGCCTGGCGGGGTGTATGTGGTCTGTTCTCAAAACACGGCCCTTTTCGGGGTACCCTGAATATCAGGGGCCGCCTTATCACTTCTCATGGAAACCCCAAAAGGGACCCTGATTTGGAGAAGTGACCGTGTGAACTCCAAGTGTCGCAGCCGTTTTTGTCTGCAGTTTCTCCATACTGACATATCCTGACATTGCAACGAAGCCGTCGCTTCTTTGCTTTCTGAGCTCGCGGGCGATGTTCGGAGTGCAATCTACAGGGGTGGATTGTGGGGGCCCAAAAGCAAACTATGGGTTACAGAGGGATCGAGTGGGAGACAGATTCATAGATCTCCAGAAGGACTTCAAGTCAACCTCAGTCGAGAAGAGGGTTCAGGCGATAGATGTGCTCCGATTGGGGGATGCCCCCTCAAGGCCTGCGTGCTCGATATGCACGGCGCCATTCTAGGGTTCTCAGGGTGTACCCTCAAACCTGAACCGAACCTGAACCCTAAGCAGCCTCATGTGAGCACCAAGCAGGACGAAAGATTCGGCTCACGGTGGCCACTTGCTACACTCAACTCCAACAGCACTAGCAATGGCAAGGGCAGATAGATAGTGGTCTCGGGTGGTACATAAATGAAATATAGAAGGAAATGTGGAGAGAGAGCGACAGATGCAAGGTCCCAGCAGAATAGCGTCACATTGGGTCATTTCCGGGCTCATCGCCCTATGCCGGTTTGGCACGGCATTTTTGGTCAGGGCCGTCCTTTATCTTTAGAGAAAGAAGACGCGTCTTTTCGGATTGAGAACAATCCACGTATCATCCGGTCTGCATGACAAGGCAACCTGAGCATCCAACACATCTGTCTGTGAAGGACAAGTGGAAGGACTGCGGCACGTCCACGTCCTCCCATGGTGTGCTGTTAAAGTTAGGCCGATAGCACCTAGAAACCCTATGCAGGAAACCCTAAACTCCTAGAATCAAGAACAGCAACTGTGTCCTGCCATGAAGAACTCATGCCCGTTCCATCCCCCTTAGCAAAGGCACTAGACCCTGCATGCGCATGGGGGAGACATCTTCGATGTACTGTTCTAGGGCAGCCTGCGACGTGGCCTTTCTTTGCAACAACATCTAAGATTTCTATGTGGAGCAATGCCCAAAGTTGACCAGCCCATCAAGTCATGTAGGCTACGGACAGAGCGCGCAGGTGACGCTGCTGGTGTTGCCGCCTGGGCCTCAAAGGCTGAGCAAGTTGCATGCGCACAAGACTGATTGCCGCATTTCCCTAGAGTCTAGTGGGATGACAGACCGGTCCTGCTACATGTGCAGGGGTCACGGCTTGGACCTCTTCGTGTATCGTGAGCGTTTACGGAGCTCCAAACGAACGGGAGCTGGCCTCTTCCTGTTCGTCAGCCATGGCAGCTCTAGTAGAGTGCACTGTCCCCTGGCCCTGGTCTACGAAGTTTTGCAGTACAACAACGGTTGCAAGTAGAGCGACATTCCCTTGCAACTCTGTGCCCATAACCCGGTCTCTTGCTGTATCTTGCTAGCACAGTGCTCAAGCGATGAACCCTGCGAATAGGTATAAACACAATTAAGGGCGTAGGGCTTAGGGTTCATATGCCTCAATCGGGATTATGGCCGCATCATTTTTCATAGGGTATGCGATCCCATTTTGGGATTCTTTGGCATGCAAAACTGCCATCTAAGCCCTTGCCCTTGAGCCAAGGCAATATCTTGCAGCTCCTGTTCTTGGCGGATGTCGGTGCGCTCCAGTCCGAAAACTCAAAGAGACCTCAAGGACTCGCAGTGGGTTATAGTTATGCTTGAGGAAGGTGCCCAACAATTCCTATTAAGTTCCAAGCTTTTGGGCTCATACTTCGCGCTGGCAATGTCTGGGCCACTTCCCTGTAGGGCTGTTCACCCGTCCCTTCACCTGCTTTCCCAGCCTTCCTTTTTTCACTCTCTTGCCAGGACCTGTGCTTCAGGTCCTGAGCTAGCTTGGCAGCCGAGGATGTGTGGCAGCAGTGCCTTTCCTCAACACGCGTCGACGCATACCATGTGTCCGGGCCATGATTCGGGGTTCCCACTTCAGGTTTCCTAAAATCTGGATTGTAGAGCCTTTAAGGCACGACTTGGGGTGCATAATGGGCACTCCTATTTTGGAGGAGTTGCCCCGTTGTGTCCTGAAAGGGGTATCGCCTGCGCTTTCTGCCACCATGTCCCACAGACTCCAGAATAACGGGGGGGTGATACGAGGTTCAAATCGAAGCGATCAGACACTCGGCCAAGGGGCGTTGCTGCTTCAGTCTGTGCTACCATATTGCCCAGTAGGGTATCCGATAGACCTTTGTATGTGATCATTTAGCCCCCAAGGGTCTGGAGTCTGGAGCGTTGTTGGCCGATTGTCTCGAGAAAGGTATGCCCCCTGCAAAGAGGGGGAGTACAGCTCGAATTCCCGCGAAGCTGTGAAACCTCAAGTATCAGCAGAGCCATGCTAAGCGACTGGACAACTTCACATCACGCCTTTGAGGGCAGGATCTAGTGGGCGCCATTGCCACCGCATAGCCAGAGGCCGTCCAGTCTCTGCTTTCTGTACATCGCAAGCAACTCTGCTGATGGAGCCAGGAAAGCTTGGCCTATTCTTTCGGCAAAGCTGCCCGACTGGCATCAGATACCTTCCACCGCAGCTTTTGTGATCATCGGACTGCCTCACTCTTCTTGCCCAAGGCTACGCAATCGAAAGTGATGGCCCCATGACCTCGCACAACGCGCCGCAGGGACGAGAACAACTCCACTATCGCAAATTGCTCCATGACTGTGTACAGTACCATGTGCGGGATGCCGCAAGAAGCTCTGGCCTCACGACTCGTCACTCACCCTTTTTTCTGCCTTCGTGGGTTCATGCACGCCACGGCGGGGCCATGGCGAAAGGCGTGTCGAAAATGCTGCCTTTTGGCAGGGAACTTCTGGGCAAGCTTCCCAACATGAACACGCCCGCACCCGGAGCTCGGTTTTGCCACTTCGGTGGCTTGAAAGCCTCAACGCAGCGCGCATCGGGCTGGGAAGCCTGCCCACACGCAGGCCGCGAAAATTTGCTCGCTTCCCTCTCAAACGATTTGAGACGAAGGAGCCCTCTGGGCACTCAACGCTGGTAGCTCAGGGAAGAAAAGCTGGATCTCCAAGTGCCCAGAAGTCCTCAAGGATCTGGTCGCTGGCGGTCGCTCTTTGTCACCTCCACCTCTGGCAGGGCAAGGTTTAGGGCCAGGGGACTGGCTTTGCAGGGTTTAGGGGTTTAGGGCTCATGAGATTTCTGGAGTTTGGGGTTTTTTGGGGCTTCTCAGGGTTTGTATAGGCTAAGTATAGGGCAACCCCTATGAAAGCTGTAACCCTAAACCCTCAACCCTAAATCCCAAACCCCTCCCGAAAACCCTAAACCCTAAACCCTAGACCCTAGACCCTAAACCCTAAACCCTAAACCCTGAACCCTGAACCCTGAAAATCTCCTGGAAGACCCCAAATAGGGCCTCGATGGATCGTTGCTTCAGCCACTCCGAGAGATCTGCACCGCGGGGCGCACCGAAGGGCGCCCGGCCGAAAAAGATCGGCATCCTGGGGCTTGGCACAAAAGGGTGGAGGGCTAGGGTTTAGGGTTTAGGGTTTAGGGTTTAGGGTTTAGGGTTTAGGGGTATATCCGGGGCTCCATTTGCGCAACTCTTGGGGGGGGGGGGGGGGGGGGCGTACCCCATCTGTCCGGGCTTTTCGGGATTCAGGCAAGGCAGCTGTCCAGGGCCTGCGGGGAGTTTGAGACTTTTCGAGGGCCTGCTGTGCGCTGCAGGGAAAAATCGAGGGATAGCACGACTTCGAAGGTTCACAGTGCTCAGTTGCCGACGTGTGATTTCCGTGCCCCAGTGTGTAATGCTCAAGCTGCAAGCAAACACGAATCGCATAGCCTGCACAGCACTGCGAAAGAAACGGTCGGTTACTGATTGCGGTCTACTCCTGGAATCAACTGAAGAACCCATGATCCGGAAAGTCCAGCTTACATCAGACATGCTGCACAGCGCCAAGGACAATGATGATCACGAACCTTGGCGATTACGTTCTCACCACCTCATTCCCTAATCCCTGGATCCATGGTCCCAAAAGTTCGGTTTAGGGTTTAGGGGTTTAGGACTGGCGAAAGCACTGGCCTAGATCGACCTCCGAAAGTCTTCTGTCTTTGACATCCCTAAGCCCTCGAGCCCAAAGCCTTGTTGTCGCTGCTTTGGTTGAGTGTTTGCAGGGCACCGTTTCCGAAGCTCCCGAAGGGAGTATCCTGTTCTAACTCTGCTTTTGGAGCTTCTGGGTCCCGCATCCTGCAAGTTTGCAGGTTCGCAGGGCTTGGGGGTTTCCCCAAGAAGGTGTACACCGAAGATAGCACCAAAGAGACACTTGCTAGAGGAACCCCAAAAAATAGGGCACCCCCCTATTGGGGAAAGCCCCAGTTGGTTCAGGATCCACGGACAAAAGGCTCGTTCACAATCTCCCTTGCTGGATGTCTAGACCCTGGTTGCCCAAACCCTAAGCCCAAATCCCCAAGCCCAAACCCTATAACCCTACAACCCTATCGCCCTAGAACCCTATAACCTTCTAACCCTATAAACCTTTTGCCCAACACACCGTGAGCCCCAAAACCCATTGAAGCGTTGCCGCCAGAGCTCGGCGCCAGGATTTGGACCCAAGGCGGGAGAAAGGCCCAGGGCGGTGGGCCCATGGCAGTGATCTGGTTTAGGGTTTAGGGTTTAGGGTTTGGGTTTAGGGTTTAGGGTATAGGGCATGGTCGGACTTTAGAGGGTGTATGGGGTTTATACGCTTCAGAGGGGTTTAGGGCACATATGTTATGCAGGGCTGATGGGTTTAGGGTTCTTATTTTTGGCCAGTCTGGCCAGGCCCTAAACCCTAAACCTTAAACCCTAAACCCTAAATGTTGTGAAAGGCTCTAGGAGTTGGGGATAGTCAGGGTTTGTGCCGTGTTCCCCGGGTTTAAGGGGATCTGTCCGGGGTTTCCAAGGAGCGCCTCGAACCCTTGTGTCTGAGCTTATTTCGGGGCCTGTAAGGGCGGATCCTGAACACGAAGCAAACAATGAATGTATATTCGTATCTGGATCCATATGGGGGGTTCCGAAAATAGGGGTACCCTTTTTGAGGGGGTCCTTTGAGGGGTATAAAAGGGGTACCCCTATTTTGGGAAATGCCCATATACGTTAGTACATGCTTGTGCCCGAAAGCAACCCCCCTTTTCAGGCCTCCAGGTATATACGGTATATAGGTCGGCCCTTAGCGTATGCACAAAGATTTGGCTGGGGAGGCTGCTTCGATTGGAATCTCTATGAATGTTGGGCCTGGGCCAACTGAGCCTTGCAAAGAACCCTTAGCTGCTCCCTGACACCAGTGCTGTCTTTCTGAGTTTCGGGGAGGACGAAGGTTCAGCTGTGGGTATATACTCTAAAGCCGAATGGTTACCGACTCAGCTCCGAAGCAGTCCTGATGGTCAAAAAGTCATCACATATAGCATAGCAGCACATGGCTACCCAAAACCCTAAGCCCTAGACCCTACACCCTATAAACCCTGGCCACCCGGAACATGGAGTCAAAGGTGTTAGATGCACCTGCGCAAGAAGATCGGGCTCCGTCGATCGCATGCCATGGGCGCAGTAGCTGTCGAGCCAGAGTCCTCTTTGATGTCAGGCAAGTGGTCAAAAAAGGTTTAGGGTTTAGGGTTCAGGGTTTTGATGCCTCTAGATGCGCAGCACAGGGTCTACGGTCCTCAGAGCCAGCCGACAGGGCACTTCTCTAATTGGGGGAATCAGCCCGCGCGTCTGCGCCAGCTTTGTACGGTATGCTCTAGTTGGTCAAGACCACCCCGTCACCTCAAGCCAACATCCCCTAGCAAAACATCTGAAAGCCAGCTCAGCTGGCTAAGCCACAGAAGCCCTAAGCCTCGCCTGAAACCCTGAAACTCTACAAGCCCTGACGTGAAACGACTGTGCCACTCTAAGCCCCATGAAGGTGGACCCTAATCTCTTTTCGATTTCATCTAGCCCCCCAAAACAATGAACCCTAAACTCTTGGAGGTTCCTGCAGGCCCCAGACACCCTTTTCACTCCCCCTAAAGCCGAAAAGCCCCCCCCCCAAGTTCGGCTTCATCCAGTCCCCCCAGGGCCAGTCCTTGCGAGCACATGTGGCCCTGGCCCAGCTCGCGCACTCCGAAGCCCGGGACCCAGGTGCGGCCCGACGTGAGCACGAGACCCGCGGCCAGGATGAACTCAGCTTCGTTTGGGTGAGATAGAGACAGAAACAGAGACGAAGACAAAGACAGAACAGAGAAATTATTCTACTTCGAACATACCCACCCTCTCTTGGTAGAGATACTCTGAAGTTGGGCACTCCAGGGACACCCTGGGGCTGGGCACTCCGGGGACACTCTGGGGTTGGGCACTCCAGACAAAAACTCTGAGGCAACGTCCGGGACACTCTGGGGTTTGGGAGACTCTGGGGTTGGGCACTCCAGGGACACTCTGAAATTTAACACTCCAGGGACACTTTGGGGTGGGGCACTCCAGGGATGAGCGAGGAGTAGACCGGGCGAGAAGAACAGTCGAGTTCAAAATCTAACAACCCCACACCGAGGGTGGGGAAAAAACAAATCCAGTCAGGCCTTGCTCCCTGCTCCGCTTTTGGAAATGCACAAATGTGCAAATGCTTCGCCCAAGGCAGTGCTCTCAGTTCTCCGAAACCTAAACCCTAAACCCTAAACCCTAAAACCTAAACCCTAAACCCTAAACAAGTACCCAGGGCGCTGCCGAAGCTGTGGCTTTGGAGTGGCGCTTCGGCCCCATCCCTGGACGTCGTGCCATGCTGGTGGGCGTTCAGCGCAAGAAGTTAGAGACGTCCTCGCAAGGTCTGCGGGCTGATGCGTTTGATTGTAAGACTTGGTCCTAGACTGGTGGAAGCAGGAAACTTGCAATAAAACAATCATCGCAGGCGAAATTGCCGATACTAAAACAACCACAAGAATTAAAGAATGCTCGTGGAACAACTTGAGCAACGTGCAGCGGAGGCAGGGGGCCATGGTGTTGAGGTCCAAACTGCGACGCGGCAACTATGTTGGGTTGAAGCTGGTCATGCCTCCTCCTCGAACATGAGAGTTTAATTTCGGGCGGCGGGGGGGGGGGGGGGGGGGTATCTGGGGCTCTTAATTCAATATGAGGGGTATAGGTATAGGGGACTCGATAGTCCGGGCCCAAATCACACAAAGGCCCAGGCGACATCTGCAGGCCCGACCTGCCTCAATCTGCGGAGGCTCTTCGATGCTTCCCTATTGGGTTGAAGTACCCTTAAAAATGTAAAATGGTACCCAACTATGACAAAGATCAATGGGTTTAGGATTTAGGTTTTAGGGCTCGGTTATCTGCAATGTGCATGGCCCAACGGAAAGGAAGAAGTCCACCATGAACCTCACACACCCAAGTCGAAAGCCAAAGCCACCCCAAAACGAAGAGCAAAAAGTTGGGACAAGCAACCTGCAACGAGATATAAATAACAATGCTAAGTTCTGATTAGCCATGTGGTCCGGCTGACAAGTAGCCCGGAATGGGCCACCCCCAGAATAACATAACAGCAAGCTACCAGGATAATTACTGATATCATACATCATGAAGAGAAAGCAGCAAAAATCCAAGAGAAGGGATCCTCAAGGCGCGAGCTGTTCTCTCCGCTTCTGCGTGAGGTAGCCCTTCGCCGCCGGAAGGGTGGACCAGAACTCCTCCCTTGCGCGAAGCAGCGACGCGTTTGGGGGATGCTCGGGACATGCCCATGGCCCAAAGCAATGGCTGTTGTTGCGGTATTGGGAAAAGGAGATGGCATCATCATCTTTCGGCATGAGCTGGTCCGACGTCCGAAGATTTTCGACTGTTCTCAAAATCGTGATTCGTCTGACGAAGATGATTCTGCTGGTCATCCGTGTCATGTTGATGATTTCTATGAGTATGACATAGGGTTATTACTAACCCCGGAGCATCTGACATGATAATATACTAGCATGTATTCATCTACAAGTATCTTCATATCATGCGATAATCTCAATATAACAATCGAAACAACTGCCCAAAAGCACGATGACCAAAGACCAGGAGATGCCAGCAGCAGTGGGGGCCCAAAGGCGTAGGAGGTCCGAGGCATCGGCATCTGGGCAGTCAGCTTCTCAACGAGCTCTGCATCCTCCGGCCTGAGCCAAGGGGGATAGCTAGGGTCTTTAAAGCGTTCCAGGGTTTAGGGGTCTAGGGTTTAGGGGTTTCGGGTCTTTGCATTTCGGGTTCCTGGGAGGGGTTGAAGGTCCTCTCTGCAGGATTCCTCTCCAGAACAAGCAGAATCGCCGCCCATGCTCGTAAGTGCCGAGCAGAATGCGCACGCCGTGCCTCAATGCAAACCCTAATTATGGACCCTAAACCCCAAATTACCTAAATCCTAAGCAACAGGTGACAATCACCAAGGCAGTTGAGGCCTTGTTGTTACGGCAACGAACTACGGCAACGAAAAGCCCCCTGTCCGGATCTGCCAAGCTTCCGCCGTCGGCAGACCACTTTAGTAGTTCCGTCAGGAAACGCTGCCCTCCTCTCCATAGAGCCTTTAAAGTTTAGAGGGTAGGGACCCTCCTCCTCCTCCCCCCCCGCCCCGGAAAGGCAACCCGGTCAAGATCAGGGCCCCAGCCCCCCAGCTTAGAGCTCAGGGCTGGTAAATGGGGCCTGGGACCATGAGCCTAACGTCCGACCACGCGCGACAAAGAAAGCCCTCAGCTCTGCAGTCCGAAGCCCTGACTCACATGCCATACAGTGAGTTCGCCGACTGGAAACGAGTTGTCAGAATGGCTGTCCTTCGCCTACCTTTGCGACTATGCACATGGGAGGGGGCCCCAAAGGTAGGCACTCAAATCTGGCAAGGCCCAAGGTCCAAGCTTCCGGAAGGTCGAGTAGACGGCTTGCACCTCACCTATCCGGACCTGCTCACCAGATGCGGGGGGGAAGATGAGGTCCGAAGTGGGAAACTCCAGGTCTAGTTCTCCAACTAAGGACGGATTTCAAGACGTTCCAAGTTTCCGGGTACATGTTTGCCAAGGCGTACTGAAGGCTTCTCGAAACTGTGCCTGTGAAATGCAACTGCCCCCAAGACCCTCCCTTGCGTCGCGACCAGGGCGGACTTCCATGATACCATGCAGATGTTCTACAAGCTCAGGAAATCTCAGGAATAATCGGAGGGCGCCATGCTCCTCAGAGGGGTTTATAGGCCTCCCACCACCTCCCCCCTCGCACCCCCCAGCCGTCCACCGGGCCCTAAGCCACACTTACTCTGAACTCACGAGACATTGCTGGCACCAGCCTGCAGATCGACCTCCTCTCTGTCAGCGATCTGACACAGGAGCTTGCAATCTCAAAAAGCACGTCTGTGCGCGCGCGACTATGCAAGGCAACTGACCGCCAAGTGGGAAATTTCAATCTTAAGCTGGTCACGCGCACGGGCACACAATCAACAGTAGCAGGCGATGTATGGGCAGCAGTTGTTTTCGCTTGCATTGCCGAAATTCCCTCCTTCAATGCAAAGGTCATGCGTGCTGTGGCTGCCACATTGGGGTCAGCTCCATCGGCGCGGCAGAATGATCTTCTCATTTCTTATCGTTCCACTGAACTTCGCCCTCTTCTGTGTCTTTGGCGTCTTTGGCTGTCGAGTCCCCCTTCAGCTGCTCCATCTCCTCCTCTGTGGCTTTGCCGACAGCCTGGGGCGCTGCACTGGCGGCCTCCGTCGCTTTCTTCTTCGCGTAGCCCATGTAGCTCTTGTAGAAGAGGGACCCGAACACCGCCACGAGGGAGAGCATCTGTGCCATACTGATGGGATGGACATACACGATGTAGGATGTCAGGATGGAGAGGACTTGCCGCATGTTCATGGTTGCGGCCAAGACCAGGGCTCCAAACTCCTTCACCAGGGAGTAGATGAAGAACTGCCCCGTCACTGCCGAGGCTGAGAGGAAGGAGGCGTCGAAGACAATGCCGGGGTGCCTGCTCACAAAGCCCAAAGCCTTGCTTGCTCCGCCGGTTGCCAGGAGCGTGGCGCCAGACACAATGGCGGAGCTTGCGTTGACGTAGAGCATCTGGTTATACTTGGAGGTCTTGTGTTCCTTGAAGAGCTTCTCCTGGAAGGTGGACGTGAACCCATCGCACGCCAAGAAGCCCACCAGCAGAAGCAAGCCGTACACGCTGCTGTCCTGGTTGGCATGCTTGGACTTGATGTCGCCTGTCAGGAGGAAGGCAGTGACTCCACCGGTGACGCCTGCAGCGATCAGCCAATCGGAAGTCTTGTACTTCTGGCCGGAGATGGCAATGCCCCAAAGCATGACAGGCATCATCTTAAAGCTTTTCCCGAGCATCTGTACTGGGAAAGAGACGTACTTTAGGGCCTCGTACTGGCACCAAGTCGCCGACACGTTGGACAAGGACACGGCCAAGTACTTCCAGATCGGAACCGTGGCGACGTAGCTCTCCCGCTTCACTGCCACCATCAGGACGGCGAATAGGATGGCCGCGAGACGGTTGCATAGCACCAGGAAGACCGAGACTTTGAAGTACTCATCCCCATACGGTTCGGACATGATACGTTCCTGGAGCACGCCATAGGCGCCCAAAGAGAGGATGATGCCACTCGCGAAGATCAAACAACGCAGCGCCGCGCCCAAGTCAGCCTCCGCAGGCCCAAGCTTCTCTGCCATCGCGACTCGATGGATCAAATGGGACGGATTGAACTGTGTGCAGGTCCTACTCGGCGTGCTTTCTTCATCTTTGCGAACTGATAACATGCTTCTTCAGGACTGTTGTCAACCTGCATTGTATGCCTGAGTCAGCTACTCCCCGCTAGTCCACATCTGCTCTGGGCTTTTCTCTGAGCCACACACGTATTCTATGTATCCTATACTTCTCCCGGACACAGAATTCGCTACCTAGGCAGACGCGTCTTTGTTCTGAATCCTTCAATCGATCAGTTTGAAACTGCACCCACTGTTGCATGGCTCGGATTCCCCACCTCCACGGCGCGAACGTAGGCCTGGCTTTGGTTTGATATCAGGCAATCAGGGGATGCGGGTCCACAAGGTCCAACTGCTTTGTGTGCGTTTCCGCCTACGAAATCCTCTATAAAGCAGCGTAGGACTGCAAACTCTAACTGCAAGAGCTCAGAAGGCCAGACCAGACAGCCTACAGCGGATCAAACACGCGTTTATGTTTTTTAAAAGCAAGTGCTGCGCTGCGCCTGCAAGGAAGCCATATCGTCAGGTCTCTCATCAAGCTCCTTGTATCATAGGGACATTGCGCAAAAGACAACCTTGTGACCTTCGCCGGCCTCCACATCCTCAAGGTATTGCTGCAGCAAGGCTCTGCTTTGCTACGGGCATCAGTCCCCTAGTCCCTATAGTCCTCTGTAAGCTGTTGAAGGCGATCGGAGAGAATCTCCCCTTCGCGTTGAGCCTCGGTGGTCTTCATGAGGTTCAAGGTCACGGAGCAAAACGATGCAGGGGGGGCGGGGGGATAGTGCTATCGCACCGTAGTCGAACCCTAACCCCATGCAGGTCCCACGCAAGTCCTACCCTACACCCTTATCAGCCCTAAACTCTAAACCCTACAACTAAACCCTAATTCAACCTAACCCACAGGAACGCCTTGGTTTGCGGCAGTGGCTCGCATGATGGGCCAAACTGCCCCCAGGACAGCACCAGGAACCTGAGCCAGGCAGTGCCTTGGGGTGTTTCCCAAAAGTTTGTTGTCCAGTAGAGTGGCGGAAATAAAGGTTGACCTCTGGGATTCTAAAGGGGATTATATTGCCCCAAAAAGGTTAAAGGTTACCTACTCTACTACTAGGCAAATAGTACACACAATACACACCCAAATATGCTACAATCCCGAGTGTCGGAACCATGCCGCGGCAGAAACACAGGGGTAGCTACCACTATCTGGGGAAACACCATGTCACAACTTCTCAAGGTTTCGAGCGAAGTCTCAGGCCGGTCTGTTCACGCTAGTATACGCTAGTTACACTCATGCCAGAATTCAGGGGATGAGTTGCCAAAGTTGGATATCATATACCTACCCCCCGCCCCTTTAAGGTTTTTGAACCGTAAGCCCTAAATCCGAAACGCTACGCTTGTGACACCAGCTTGGATATTTCCCCCCTGCAGCCCCAAAATCTTCAGTACAACTCTCTAGACTATGCTATATAGTATCTAAGCGTATTCAAAAGTCTGCCATCTTATCCGACACATATATTCCTTAATATTGCTATAGAGCAATATGATATTTACTCTGGCGGTGCGGGTTGGGTTGCACTATGACCAGGTGCGGAGGCCGTAATCGACTCTACCTGAGAAGGAAGCCCAAGAGCCCACAAGGGTGCAAAAGCTCTTTTGACACGAGCTGGTGACGCTTGGTTGGCGCAAGGGTTATGTACACTCCTTTAGAGTGCGCCATCCCGTGTGCATCCGAGTGTGGCAGTCTGGCTGCTATACGCCCCCCCGGTTGCATGGGATTGGGGGACAACTAAGTGACCTCCAAACCAAGTAAGGCTCAACTCGGCTGCACAAGATGGCATGAAACTGTGCACAGGAGAATGTAGCGCTCGCGGTGCCATGTGCAGAGGCGAAATGGCACCGTGCAACGCAATTTATTTAGACTCCCATGGGTGGCTCAAGAACGGAACGGTAGTTCCGCACACACTTCGGCGCTCCAATCAAGCAGATGTTCGGGATCGCTGTATGGTATCCTGGTTGTGTCCACATGCCAAGTGCAGACGTGCGGCTGGAGATACTTTCCAGCCTGCGCCTGTTTCACAGGCAGGCGAATGTCTGGCGTTTGCTTCGCAAACGCCATGTTGGCATTCGGCAGCTTCAAAGGCCCTGCCCACATTTACATACCTGCTACAGATTAAGTCATACTAGACTAACGTATTTTGCTTTTGTCAATTCTCAGGTTGCTATATAACTTCTAGTTCTCACTATGCAGGTTGACGATTGCAGCAACTATCTTTACATATCTTTGCCCCAGCGGACTCCGAGGTCCTTGCTTGTTGAGGTTCAGCGCATTTTCCGATGTAGGTGTGGGGTTGCTACTCCATGTTTAAGTGATCCCCATACTGGGCCCCATGCCCTCAACATCACCCCTCCCAGCCCCTCACAACTCACCCCGCAGTGGCTCTCCCAGCCATTCGCCAAGTTTTGCTGCTCGTCCTGTGGCGCGGACGGGTCCACTTCTCCAGTCTCCAAAGAGTTCTGTCGTTGAGAGAGTGCGGGTGATCCTTCAGGCTGACTGCAACGTCCGCCGATGATCCTAGAGTGCTCGACCGTGCGCAGATGATCCCGGAGCGCCCACCCGCCGATATTCGGCGCAGTACCCCTCGCCCCCTCCCCCCGGATGCTTCAGGATGGGCTTACCGAAGAAGTGCCAAAATTGATTTGATTGTTTGCTGTTTGCCATTTGCCAGTTCAGGGTTTCGTACGTATTGCATCTGTTCAGTACCTTACTGCTAGAACCTTGCTGTCGACGGACTTCGGGCGTCTCGATCATAGGCCTATTTAGCCATACGGAGATACTAGATACCTGCTGCCAGCTGCTGTGACATCCAGCCTTCGCCAGTAGGACGTGCTAGAGAACACGTCGCACGCATACACACTCATTTTACGATGGTTCCTAAAGACCTGCCATTCTTGGTTGGTGCGCCCCGGCCGCCACTGCAACAGCAAACAGCCTTGGAAACTATTGTGAAATGCGGGCCTTGCAGAGACTTGGCCTGCCTTCGTTCAGTTCATCAAGCGGTTTTCATTATACCAGTTAGCAAGATCTACTTTCGACGGCCGGGCGATCAATGGTCAAACGCCAAGTTGGGTCCAACCACCAAGGGCAGATCCTTGCAGGAACTGTTAGGGCGTTAGCTTCGGACTTCGAGAAACAAGCTCTGCTCCCAAGAGCTCCATGATGCAAGTGGCCCGGGGATCTTCGCCGGGTCACGTGCCATCGCCACCCAACATCTTCGCCTGAGCACTTCACTGCCATTCAGCAGTTGCGCTCAGAAGTCTACTATAGTCTTCTCTTCTTACTACACGTGGAGGACCCAAAGCAAAGACGATCTGAGAGGGGACAACTAGAAGTCAAGAGAGAAGAAGAACACCTATGCCCGTGCGCCAGTATGTGGTATGTCGCGGTGGTCACACCCTCACCCCCCCCCATCTCTGTCACGTATGTTTGCTGCGCGCCCCTTGTTCTACACTATCTACACGTATGTCGCAGATATGTCCCGGAGACCTAAGGGGGGCTTAAAGAGATATCCCGGACTTTTGGCTCGCAGACATGTCTGCGGGGGGCAGACATTAAGGCATGCCCAAGTTTAACAGAAGGAGCAGACTAGAGGAAGATGCAGTAACTGCAGGTCCATACTTGCGGCAGCCTTAGGTGTACTTTATCTCCAGCCCAAGAAATACTTACAGAGGGCCGTTAATGATTATCCTTGTGGCGGCTACAGACCATAGCTTAACGGTCGATATACAAACCGTGCAAGGCCCCTTCCACCAGGTGGCATGCTCTTCGTCGTCCATTTCCGCCATGATTCTCGCCAGCATCATCAAAGAAGACCGAATCCTCGGAAGCTGCCACCAGAAATCAGAAACATCTGGATTCTAGATTGGCATGCCGGTAGCTTGGGGATGAACAGCAACGAGGCTCTGCAGCAGCGAGTGCGGGGGAGCTCTGGACTTGACATCCATGCGACTGGTGCACCATGCACTGCACTGTTGCAACATGCTGCGGGTCTGCCATAGTTTACAGGGGGTGGGAGCGTGGAATTTCAAATACGAAATGAGTCCCCTCACGCCACCCAAACCCCGAGCCCTAAGCCCCAAAAAAACTCTGCTAGTTCCAAACCAGGGCACCTTTTCCAGCGAGCCTTGACCACCTTTCGAACCTGGCGGGGAAGTGGAAATCGACTGGGGCTCCGCAAGATCACAGAACGGGTTGGGCTATCAGCCACCATCAGCCACCACAGAGGTATCCGAACCACAGGAATCGAAGACTCGGACCCCTAACCATCCAGTGTTCAGGGAGGTTTGTTGGGGGATTGGGAGCCCATTCCGTTCAGAGGAGACCACAGGGATCACAGGTTTAAAAGGCCAGGGTTAAATGAGCTGCACCTCAACCCGAGCCCAAGGAAGGCTCCAGGATTCCTTGACCTAGCTAGGATCAGCATTCCTCCTGTCAGCCCCTATGCCGAAGTGTACTGGATTCAGGGGTGGTGATGCACGCCTCCTCTCGCGCGAAGTCGGCCATTTCTTCGCCGGTGAAGTCCTGCTGACATCCATCGCCCCACTAACCCGAGCTAGAAGCACCGAGAGTCTCCATGCTGTTCAATCACATCATCTGTGCAGTGTGACAGGCCCATATGGGCATGGAACCATCACTTCATTTCAGTGGGTGCCCTGTCTGTTGACGTGGCCGAGGAACTGTTTAATGCTGATGATGAACTCTATGAATTCTCAAAGTGTTTGTTCGAGGCCCCATGTCGCTTCAACCAAACCGTAAACCCCAAACCATGAACCCCACTGCTCAGTCTTCGGGCGACGTAGCTGTGAGTCAACGGAAAACGACGAGCCTCTCCACAGATGATTCTTTATGCACAGCCGGCCCAACAACAGAATATGCGAACCTACTTAGTCTTTTACTTTGGATCGTCTGTATTCTGCTTAACAAATGGCAACTATATGAGCTTTTTTGCATTACTCTATATATGGGGGTTTACGAAAATAAGGGACCCTAATATATCCTCCAAGCAGCAGGGGTGCGGACCCCAATAAGGTAACCCAAATTTCGGAACCCCCACATGTCCGGGAAAAATCTCCCTTGCAGCCCAATACCTGAGGAAAAAATGTCCTGCAAGCTGGCCACGGTGGATCCTGCCCTCCTTGGCAAAACGGGCAAAGTTTAGGGTTTAGGGTTTAGTGACAGCTGGAACGAAACGATCGGCTTTGCCTGTGGCCACCTTTGGCTGCTGTAGTCTAGCTGCTGTCTTAACCAACTTCTCTCTTCAAGTTTGCATGTCGCACTCAGCCGTCCCGAACTCCAAACCCTACTCCCTAAGCCCAAGCCAAATCCGAATGCAAAACCCACACAATATGACCTCGATGACCTCGAACACCCGCAAGGTCAATGAGTCAACAACTGAAACTTCTGCCCGCGAGGGCGCGACTTCATTGCCGCTGCGGAGAAGCCTCGGGGAGTTCGGGGGCTCGGGATTGGGGATTGGGGTTTCGCGAAAAAGGTTTAAGCTTTAGGCGTTTGACAGGGTTGGAGGAGTTAGGGGACCTGGGCTCAAGGCAAACTGGGCGCATTGCCCGCGCTCCGGAACCACATGACTACACATCTGAATGCTGCAGGGCGTACTGCCCGAAACCCTGAACCCTAAACCCCAATCCCTTAGTTCATCCAACCTTCCATCACTGCAGTGGCGGAGCCGTCTGGGAACTCTTGATGGATCTCGTCTATTCGCTTTAGTGCCTCGCGGAGAGACAGCCAAGGTTCAGTTTAATCGATCACTCTCGGACAAGAGGGTTCAGGGCTTCAGGTCTCGGGCTTAGGGTGCAGGATTTCAGAATGGGTTTATGGTCCAGAGTCGTGGAGAATTCGTGTCTTCGGCTGTACTCGTGGATGATTTTTGCTCTGAACCTTCTTCCTGCGCCTCGAAACTGACGTGCGGGAGTGTTTCTGAGCATCTTGAACGGTCGGCTGTGCAAGTCACACGGTCAAGCTAACGCAGGGCTGCGCAAATGACGTGGCATGCACAAGAACTGCGTGCCTCCTCGGAGAACCATCCTGCGCCATGCAAGGCACTCTTGGACATATGGCGTTGGGAGGGCGCATCTTTCCGGACCCAAGGAACCCTACACCTTTTTCTGAACGGTGTATGGCCCCAAGTTTTCGGGATTGAGGTGCTCCGTCGTCTCATCTACCAATTGCTCCCACATAAAAGGCATCCGATCGGCCGGTGAAACCTTCAGGAGACTGTGGTTGGACATGAAGGGATATGAGGTGTAGGGTTTGGGGTGCAACGGTACTTGTCCCGACAAAACCCGGCCTAAACCCTAAACACCTTTTCCAGAAGCTGCATCCTGACAAGCCCTCAAGGCCTTGGAGGTTCTGGATGATCTGTGGCTCTTGTCTCTTGCGCAGGGTGTCCAGCACCTGGAACCGCGAGTCGAGTCTTTTTCTTCGTTGGGCTCTGGGTTTAGGGGTTCTCTGAATGTCGCATCCCTCAAGAATCTTCTCAAGGTTGGTCCGTCATGGGTAGGCGGTAAACGTGCAACTGGGTTCGGGGTACAGGGTGGCATCATTGCGGTTCTTTTGTGGCTCTTTCGCATTCCCTGGTATCTGCATGGACATTAGCGACGCAGACCATGCATGAAATTATCTTGGGAATTAAATGAACCCCAAGCAGGGGGTGTGCAGGCTGCACACATTGCAAGAGAAAGTAAGTGAGACGAGACGTTGGAGAATGTTGGAGAATGGAATGACGCAAGGGGAGACGCAAAGAGACATGCAAGGGCATTGCAGGCATGTGGCCGCAACGCATAACTAAGGAGGGAGAGTCAGACGGTCGCAAGAGCGAGCCAGAAAGGGCGGCCTGTGAGCCAGGAGGGCGGCCTGTCGCTTAATAATACTGCGAAACGCCTGGGCATAGCAAACCCAAACCCTTTGTTCCTAAACCCAAACCTGTGGAGACCATGGTGCCATGTACCCCGGCCTCGTACCAGCCCTGGTCTCGAATCTGAGTGCAAGCCAGGAGTTTAGGTCGGCATTTCAGGGTTCTGTCGGCTCAAAGTTAGATGTGGGTGTTTGCTGAGCTTGCTTTCGAGCACAGCTAACATCGGACTGAATAGAACATGACATGCCAGCCTAGATTGGCCTAGGTTCCTAGATGCAACGAATGCCGCTTCCGCCATGTGCCTGCCCCAGCCCCCCTGGCTTAGACTTGTAAACTTCCAAACCCTCCCCCTTACAGCCAGCTGAATGAGCAGTCAAAAAAAAGTAGTGGTGTCGTTTTTAACCTATTCGGGCCCTGTATAGATACCTTCCTGCACCCGTACTCCTTCAAGAAAGATGCGAAACCTGGTATAAACGGCATAGAGGCTTCAGTAGGGTTCAGGGACCCGAACCCTGCCCAAGATGTACTTCCCAGCCGGCTTTCGAACGCCAGCCGTCAGCATGACGGCTACCCGGCTACCTTGTCCCCAAGTGGAGATCTTGCAGAATGGAATCGAAACTCATATGAAAAGGGCCCAAACCCTGCCAACCCTCCTTTGAAGCAACCTCCACCAGTGGTTGCGGCAAGGTGGCTGGCCAAACAGGATTCAGCGGAAAGCAGTAGCCCTCCTCCGCGCGCTCCTGAAACCATTCCAACTTTAGATCCAAAAATTTCCCAGCATGTATGCCAAACCGCAGGATGCAGCGTAGGCTACAACTTAGAACGGGGATGTTCTTGAGAGCCTAAAAATCGACACTTCTTCTCAAAGCACGCATGACGGCGCAACAGACGCCCCAGTCCGTCAGGAAGTTCCTCAGCTCTGCCTCAACGAGAAGTGCACAGTTGAGAGTGCAAAACTCAGGCGCCGCAACCGCATCCATGATTGGCTGAAGTAAGGTGGTTCTTAGCAAGGAATCTTGGCATAAGGTAAGCCGAACATGAAACATGAATGTAGTTATATGTGTATATATATATATATGGCAGTGGGTCAAAATTCGGGTTGTCGCGGGGGGTCCCCCGTCCCTCTGTTACAAGCCTTGTCGCGGGCAAGTTGTTTCATACCTTTGTCGCGCCGCTACTTTGAACCCAATTTTCTTAGTTGGGTTTTGTAAGGCTTTATGGTAAAGGGTTTAGGTTTAGGGTTGGGGTTTCGGATGAAGGGTTTAGGGACCGCAGGGATTTTACCGGAGAGCCATTAAAGCCTGAACCCTGTAAATATAAACCCTGGGCTTCTCGTTCAAGGTTGTCCTACGGATGGGCACCTGCTGGCTCGAGCAGTCGCGCGGGTTGTCGCGGGTATGTCGCGCCCTGTCGCAGGCCTTGTCGCGGACTTAGAGTGAAAGTTGCTGCAGACACGCATCAAGGTCGCATCGAGATTGGCAATGAGAAAATTCAATGGTATTGCTGTCTTGTCGGGGGGGGGGGGGTTGTAGCCTTGTCGCGGGGGGGGTTGTCGCGGACACGGCACGTCTGTTACAAACCTTTGTCGCGGAGGGACCCCCCGGTGCCTGTTACAAGCCCGGAAAAAAAACTCACCGCCATATGTATATGTGCGTGTGCGCGCGTGTGTGTGTTTGTCTCTGTGTGTGTGTGTGTCTGTGTGTGTGTCTGTGTGTCTGTTTGTGTGTCTCTGTGTGTGTGTGTGTGTGTGTCTGTGTGTGTGAGTGTGTGAGTGTGTGAGTGTGAGAGTGTGTGTGTGTGTGTGAGTGTGTGTGTGTGTGAGTGTGTGAGTGTGTGAGTGTGTGTGTGTGTGTGAGTGTGTGTGAGTGTGTGTGTGTGTGTGTGTGTGAGTGTGTGTGGTGTGTGTGTGTGTGGTGAGTGTGTGTGGTGTGTGTGTGTGTGTGGTGTGTGTGTGTGTGTGTGTGTGTGTGTGTGTGTGTGTGTGTGTGTGTGTGTGTGTGTGTGTGTGTGTGTGTGTGTGTGTGTGTGTGTGTGTGTGTGTGTGTGTGTGTGTGTGTGTGTGTGTGTGTGTGTGTGTGTGTGTGTGTGTGTGTGTGTGTGTGTGTGTGTGTGTGTGTGTGTTTGTGGTTTTTTCGTGTGTGTGTATATATACACTATATGTAATCCCTTGATAGGTTATACAGGGGGAGCTGAGGTACCTAGGTCCCTATGAATATCAAGTAAGGTCAACCTGGTGCGAGACATGAGCATCACCAGAATGGCTCTGCCTCTTTCAGCGCTCGCCAAGGTGGGTCCTCTCACGCAGCCCAACTGCTTTAGTGTGGCACAGGGTTTAGGTTTAGGGTATTAGGGTATTAGGGTTGATAAAAGGGTTTAGGGTGCTGTCTTCATGAGGACTGGGGCACTGCCTGGTTGCCTTCGATTCTTTGTTTGCAGATGTTGGCGCGGCCGCTCCTGGTAGCCGTCCCAGATGACCAGGAACTCGTCATCCAGCTCCTGCGCAACTCATGCCATGTGCACAGATACGACAAACACAAAAGTGAAAAACAAAACTGTACAGAATAAAGTATGTATTCATGAAGGGTGGACTTATATGGAGTTGATCTAAAGGTGATTCTTGGAAAGCGATTTAGGAGTTAGCACCGGAGATACAAGTTTTTGGGAACAGGTATTTTGAAAAACTGCCATCTGGCACTGCATGTGCAAGCATGCAGTCATTTCTCATGAGACTGCTAACGAATATGCCACACACACACACACGCCTATAATGAGAAAATTAATTCCCCAAAGAAAGAACCAGTTAACTCAAGAACGCGAACATGGGGTCTAGTGGTTCTGGGACGATAACAATTTCGGGGCTAGTCCTAAGCCCAGAGCCGTACCTCTTAAAACCCCCCTTAACCCTCCGGCTACGTGAACACCCCTGAACCCGAAGCAAATGTTTCTTATATTTTAACTCCTGACTCACTGACCCTAACCCTAAACCCTAAACCCTAAACCCTAACCCTAAACCCCAAAGCCATCGAGATCCTGCGGAAAGTAGAAGTTGAAGCACTCTGCGCCGTGGCGGATAGCACCGCAGGATGCCGTCACTTTCACCACCTTGCTGTTGCTTACTTATATGTTTATATTTTTCTGGGTTCTAGGGTTTAGGGTTATAGGGTTATAGGGCACCACCTTGCTGTTGTTTACTTTTTTTTAACATTTTTCTGTGTTCTAGGGTTTAGGGTTTTAGGGTTTTAGGGTTTTAGGGTTTTAGGGTTATAGGGTTATAGGGTTATTGGGTTATAGGGTTATAGGGAGGGTTTAGGGCTTCAGGGTCTTAGGGTTATAGGGTTTAGGGTTTACAGCGGAGGGTTTGAGGGCTTGAGGGTTTTAGGGCTTAGGTCTTTCTGGGGGTTTTGGGTTTTAGGGTTAAACGGGTGGAGCGGCTTTTCACGGCTTTTTTTCGTTCGTTGCGCAATATTTGTTGGGTCAATTTCCTGGTTTTCCCTTAGAAAAACCCTCTATTGCCTCTGTGTTTTCATGGCTTTTCTCCAGGAACAACTCTACTCCTGCCGTAACTTCATAGGAGTCCCACTAATTTTAATGGATGCGCATGAATTTGGTCAATTTCCTTACTAGGATTTAAATTCACTAACACACTGCTCACATGCATCAAATCTAAACAAGCAAAGCGGGGCGGTTGGGGGCGGGGCAAACATAAACAATAAAATCATTCTTTCGTTCTTTCTTTCGTCTCGGTTTCGGTTCTTCCTTTCTTCCTTCCTTTGTTTCTTTCTCTTTAATTCTTTCTTTCCGTCCTTTTCTTCCACGATCCTCCCCAGCCCAAGGCCCTCTCTCTTCGAGAAAGCAGGCTTTCCTAGTACGAACATAGAGAGATTAGATGCGTTCTAAAAAAATTGGCAAACACAGTGCGCCCTCCGTGTAAGGGTTTGGGTTTTTCAGGTCTCGGGGATTTTGACGCCAAAATCTCGCACGCGGATGGCAAGGTCTCCGAGCCATCAAGGGTTGGGGTTGCAGAGGTTCAGGGCCCTAAACCCTAAACCCTAAACCCTAAACAGGGCTCAGAGGGGCTTGTAGGGCTTAGGGATGTGTAGGGGCTCTAGAAATCAGAGGTCTGAGGTGGTGCAGGTGCAAAGCGTATGATCTTGCGGTGGTTCTGCCTTTGGGGCTCACGAAGCCGCCCAACACAAGGTCGCTTCTTCTACGCACGAGTTTCGGAGAGGTCAGCATATTTGCAGCCTGGGCACATCACCGATGAGCCGTACAGATGTGTCGTCACCAAAACCCAACTTTGGAATTTCCGGGTGAAAACCTCAGGGAGCTGAGCAACAAGTCAGAACAATGCGTGGCAGACGGCCGGAGTTCTTAATGAAGAAGCAGCCAGCCATGCGGATGTGCACAACTGCGCGTGGTCCCTGCCTTTCTTGTTGGCTTCTTCCTTTAGTACCTGCGGCCACAGGCTATGCCAAAGCGATTGGGCCTTGCACAGTTGTTTTGTTGCCACTGATCTTCCATGTTTGCCCAGAAGCTTTTGAGCTGACAGTCTGAGCCACTTGCAAGAGGAGATCCTAAATCGCCGCGAGGCATCTACCCAAACTGAACGAAGCAGCATGCCCAGCAGTTGTTGCAGCGCAGACGCTATTCGCTCTCAGCATAAGCAGCCCCGAAGCCTTTCTCTACATCTGGACTCAGTGCTGCCAGGCTCGGAGTTCACTCCGCGAACCCCCTTGACACTATCACCTGAATTCCACGACGTCTAATTCCCCAAATCCATGATTCCTTCACACATCTATAAGTCCGAAAAACGATCCTTAAGTCCTTTTCTGACTTTAAACCCCAAAAAGCCGAAACAGCCAAAAAAAAAAAAGGTTTTTGGGTTTAGGGTTTGGGGTTTAGGGGAAGCCCCACCTCCAACCATCGGGATGTCCAGCCCTTGGAAGCCGGCAGCCCGATGATGTCCGCCGTGTGCTCCAGGCACCACTGGAACATCTCCTGCTTCCAGGAAAGCGTTGTGTAGGGTTTGGGGGGTTTAAGGGGCATAATGGGTATATAAGGGTTATAAGGGTATATGAGGGTTATAAGGTTATATAAGGGTTATAAGGGTTATAAGGGTTTCTGCAGGGCTATCTCTGAAGAGCGGCAATCCGAGGAGCCCGATGCACTTTAAGGTTTAGGGTTTGGGTAAAAAAGGGGTTCAGGGTTGTAGAGTTTAGGGTTGAGGCTTCTTTTTGCCACCCATCTAGACATGCTCCTGCTTTGGCTACGGAGGGCTTTAGAGGGTTTACGGCCCGAAAGAGGGCTCCGGCGCGTTTCGACTCTCGCGCTCGCAGCACACGGCCGGCAACGTTCTGGCTTTGCAGCTTCGGGGCGTTTCGCTGTCGAACTATACGCGCTGAGCTTGCAGAAAGCGAAAGCCCCAAACGGACCGAGGTATGCTTTTTCTTTTTTGTTGTTGCTGGTTTCTTTTTTTGCTGAAGGGGGGGGGGTCTTCGCGTTGTCCTCATCCAAGCACGTTATGGCTAAACAATTTGCAGAAGGACCTGTGTCTGGTGCCTTAAAGTGCATCAAAGCCTCTGAAACCCTACAGCCTCGATTGACAGCAGCATGCACTCACATCCGACAGGTCCTGCTGCTTTGGCGGCAAAGGATCATACGCTACATTGGTGCTGCCGACCAGGAACGTGTCGAAGTCGCTTACGACCTTGCAAAGCACAATGCGTGCTCGCCACATGCCCCATGACACCCCCCCCCCCCCCCCCCCAAAAAAAAAAAAAAAAAAAGGTCCATGAACCCTAGACCCTAAACCCGACCCTAAACCCTAAAAAGTTAACCCTAAGCCAAACCTCTCTCCACCCTTCTGGGCTTCCCGCTGGCAGCACGTGCGCTTCAGCATAGGCCACCAGCAGCCCCAAGGGATTCATGGGGTCGGCCAGGTCATACTGGTAGAGCACGACTTCCTTAAGGGCTTCGTTGTTTCGGCATGAGACCGGGATCCTGTTTCATGGGGTTCAGGGTTCAGGGTTTAGGGTTTAGGGTTTAGGGTTTAGGGAGACTCTGAAAAGCATATCTGCCATTTGAAGCACTTCTTTGCCTTCCAAGAGTCTGGTCTGGTGTCCCCGCGCACTGCATGCAAATTCATATCCTTGGACGAAACAGCGGCTACCGAATCCCAGTATTCCCACACAACTTTTGCAAATAGATTCGGGGGCCTGCGCACCCAAAAGCCTATAAACCCTGCTGTTTTGTTTGCTGTTTCTGATAACAGTTTGAGGGTCCAGGTCGCTTTACCCTCGACGTCTCTTCCACATTGCAGCAGCACGGTCTAAGAGTCTAAGGGTGGTATGGCGCACGGTGAAAGGGTCATGTAGCGGGTCTGAAGCTAGCAGATTTGCGGGTGTTGGGGCCCCAAAGCAAAAAAAAAAACAACGAACCCTAAACCCCAGAAGGCCCGATAAACCAACCCTCAACACCCTCAAGCCCCCGATGATTTCCTCATGGCCGGGATGAGCAATGATGCCCCTATTATCCGTGAAAACAGTTTGATTGGGGGGATATCCTGGGACCCTAAACCCTAAACCCTAAACCCTAAACCCTAAACCCCCTTGAGAGAGTTTGAAGGACAATGCTTGCCGCCACAAGTGTCCATGAAAGCGGGCTCGGATTGCCTGCCGGTCTCCCAGCCTCGGTTGTGGGACTTCCAGGATTTGTCGACGATTTGGGCGAGGTAGGATGTTTTATGGGGTTTTATTGGAGGAATTCTATAGGACTGCTAGAGGGGTTTCCGTAGGATTGAGAAGGGCTGTTCGACCTGTTCTGGGGATTTCAGAGGTATACAGGGTCTACCCGGAGGACGGGGGCCCGAGGAAGGTCAGGGTTTACGGGGCTCAGAGACATAGTGGGTATAAGGTGTATAAGGTGTATAAGTCTTATAGGGATTCGGGGTTATATGGTTTGTGCTGTTTTCGAGTCTCCCACTACGCGATCGGCAAGGCTTCGAGGCAACATCGGGAGCAAGCGTGTTGGTTTGGGGATGCAGAGGGGAAAAACGCCGCCAAAAGAGGAGGACATCCTGTTTCCAACAGGCCTACACCCAGGATGTAAATAAAGAAGTCTCCAAAACGTGGCCCTAAAGTATGGTCCGCTTTAGGGTTCCGATGATCCCGATGACTCCGCTTTTTGCCAAGAAGAGACCATCGCTAGAGAACTGAGCAAACCCCCTAGAATGCGGTCTTGGAGCCAACCATAGGCGACAGATCGGGCTTCATGATGTAAGCCTGCAGTGCGCTGCCAGGTTAGCAAGAAAGTGAGAAGCCCTAGGAGGGCACATTCTTCGAAAATTACAGGGCTCCTTTGGTCCCCAAGACAGCCCTCAGCCCCACACTCCTCCTGGGTCCCACTCGATCTACTCTCTACTCTCCGCTTCTTGGATCCGCAACTGGCCTCCCTCATCAAAGGTTCGGGCACCTTGGCACACAAAGGCAAGGGTTTAGGGTTTAGGGTTTAGGGTTTGAAAGCACCCGCAGGCTCCGACGCAGTGCTTTGAGCCGCGTTTTTCGGGTTTGCTGGGGCCACCGCATCGAGTCCGAAGGTTGTCGGCTCCTTGCAGAGTCATAGGGCGTTGGGGCTTAAGGGGTTGGGAAGGATTGATGAGAAATTGCTTGTTTTTGAAGATTTCGGAGTCCGGCCAGCAAACTGAAGTACAGCAATGAAGTTCAAAAGATGGACAGAACCCCCCCAAAAGTGCACCTGGTTAGGGTTGTTGGCAGTGGCAGGTCTCATTCTGACATCCGACAGAGCGCGAGAACAGGCAACTGGAGCCTATGTTTATTTCTGGGTGAGGGGAGTTTAGGGTGTTAGGGATGAAGTATGTAGGGGGTTAGACATGTTTAGAGAGTTGGGCAGGAGGGGTATTGGGGATGGTTTGGGGGTGAGGGGGCTTGAAGTTTCTCCTTCGCCTGCTACCAAGTACTCAATGCTGTGCGCGGCGCGTACCGAATTAATATTGCGATACCCACTTCAGAGGACCCTCAAAACTTTTGCTGTCAAAGTCTCGTAGTCGGTGATGAGCTTGATTGTCGGATCATCCATTCTCAGAAGCTTGGCCTGTTCCGAGCAAGCTCTGTTCTGCTGCGGGGCCTGCAGCCCCTTAAACTCTGAACTGTTCCTACATTCGCAAACCCAAGACAAACTGACGTAATGCATGTCCCAATGGCCTACCTGAGAACGCCATCCCAGTGGTTACGATCGAGTGTTATTGTGGGCGCTGGCAAATTGAGAGCGACGCCAAAAACAATGTAACCCCTAAACCCCCAGAGCCTGTGATCAATTCCACTCAGGGTGATCCCCGGCCTCTTTGAGGACCTTGGAAAGCGAGCCTTGCGCCTGCTCTCGGGCCGCCTTGCTCCTGGGCGGGTTTCGACAGTCCGAGTTGAGGGTTTGAGGGTTTGGCCCTCGATATCCGCGGCCCCTGATGAAGAGTCTCGACGCTCCCTCCACGGGACCATTTCGTCTCAGGGCTAGGCGAGGGTTGGGCACTTGAGCCCCTTTACGGTTTGGGGGTGGCTGTTTGTCTATCACTCTTTCATGACAAATACGGTCTGCACAAGGCAAAACTGATGTGGCGAACCTGCGATCGAAGATCTTCGTGTTTACAGATAGGGATACATCCTGCCTCTAGCGTCTGTCTGAGGCCTCTCCCAGCAGATGAAACATGCCATCGAGTTGGACCGGTTGTTTCAGGGACGGTGCCGGATGCAAACTGGAATGGGCTACCGGGGTGTAGGGAGACGTCCGGTAAACACGCGTGAGGATGTGCTCGAAACCTGCATTGGTAAAAGCCCTTCATACATCATGCCACGCATGAGCCTGGCCTGTAGAAGATCTTGGTTCGCGTGTCTTTCGGAGACTCCTGTCACACACCGCGAAACAGCGAAGCTGAAACGACGATCGTTGAGCTGAATCTGCGGTAACTTCATCAGCCGCCTCCACATCCCACTTGTGCCTGTTGTCACCTTGATGCCCAAGCAGTATACATCCACATGCTCATACAACTGGAACCCACACACACACACACACCCGCGCGCGTGCGCGCGCCGCTGAGAGCTGCAATATGCTGCAATACCAACAACCCGAGCGCAGCACTGATCTGAATGAAGGGCACAAAACCCGATAGCCGATTCTTCTTGGCGGACCTCAGCAGCTCGGGACAACCTAAACCGAGTACTGCAAGTACCGTACAGGCCTTTTTGGGGGATCAGAGCTTACACCATGGGTACCGAAACACCCTATAGTCTAGATCAACGCCGGGCGTACGGGCAGTTCTCTGGCTAGTTCTCGAACAGATCATCCCTCTTTGGATCAAACAACTCTGTGATGCACAAACCCCCCTAGCTCAGGCTGCATATCAGACCAATCGCCACAGACTGATGCGCAGGCCACGATGGAGGCTCTGATATGGGGGCCCATGTACTTTAGAACAAGCATTTGGGGGAGTTGAATTTGCAAATGCATACGGATTGTAAGGGGGTGATGTTGTATGACAGCCCGAAGCCCTAGCTTAAACCCTACAGATCTTCCTCTGAGCCCCGCGCTTGCCTTTGACATTCAGACCCTTTCCCACGCCAACCTCGCGAGCTCTGCGCTTGCGAAAGAACGGCTCAGTGGGAGGGGAGGATGAAACCCTAAGCCTTAACCCCATGCATCTATCAACTGGAGCACTCATGGTGACCCTAAACCGTTATAACCGCTAGAAGGGCGACTTTGGTGGCTTCCGGCAAGCAAACGCTGAACGCTGAACTCCGACATTGCCTTCCCCAGCATCTTGGCGATGGAGTCGCGGCTGCATGGTCTGTACACCACAAACCACCTGTCATTTTCCGAAAGGGTTCTCTCCGTGTGATAAGAGCTCCTTGGCCCCCACTTTGTTTGAGCCCAGGATGCCAGAAAAAACACTGCCGCTTACTGCTGGTTGAACTTCATTGATTGATTGATTGATTGATTGACTGCCTGTGGGCGCGGACGCCCTTGCGCTTCATTGCGTCACATGTCTCAATTTCAAAGGGGTAAACGTCAAGAACCTTCCTCAGGGTCCTCCTGCCGGGCAGGCGTGAGCAGATGCAGGCAGCAAGTGACACATCTGCTTGAGCATGTCATATCGCGCAACCTTCCCCTACAACTTGCTGATGGCAGAAGTCGCCGCCAGCAAGCTTCGGCAATGAACCAAGCTCCTGTGCCCTCATGTCTAGGCGCCCAGAAACCTTAGAATCACAAAGAGCTTCTTACCGGATCATGAGCCAGGGAAGAAGACATCCTGGATGTAGACTCAATCCCGACGGAGGCCTGCTTACGACGTCGTCGTCCTTCTTGGCGGTGGCCTCGTCCCTGCTGCCCCCTGGTCCCCAGGAATCCTTGGCAAGCAACGACCACTGCAATTGAGTCTATCAGTCTGCAGCTGACTGGATTGATGCCTTTGTAGTGCCTGACAGTATCGGGGTAAGAGTCTTGTGCATGGAATCTCAGGCGACCAACAAAACATACCTCGGAAAGCTGAGGAGAATGACCTTTGTATCCGAGGCCCCGGCCCCTGGTTGGTAGAAATCGGCAATGAGCTTTCGCGGATCTGACTTGTATGCCTGAGCCTGCGCGTCATGCAGAGCTGGGCAAGTGACGTTCCTGCCACAAGCAAACACCATCACTCACTCTTGCCATGCATAAGACCGGGCCTTCAGCTCATTGAGCGTCCCCAGCTTCTTCTCGAACTCCTGCCCAGTCGGAGCCCTAAAGAACACATGTCAGATACCCGAACCCTCCCCCCCGAAGCCACTGGGGGGCACTGCACAGCCTTGAAGAAACCGGCTGTCACGCCCTTTCTGCATCTCTCCTACTTTCGGAGACCTTCAGCTCCAAATTGCCTAGCTCTTAGCCTTTGACTCCGAAGAACAGAGGCTACTGTAGTCGGCGCCCGGTGCTTCAAGCCGAAGAAGTCCATGTCAAGGAAACGCTGTACTCTGTAACCCTAAACTCGAGTCACCCCAGGTCCTCACGGCTCAGCTGCAGAACCTGCCCGACGCCGCCGTTTTGGTTTATACAGGCTTGGTACAGACAGGAGGGGGAGCGGATGACTGGATTCTTCTGCCAACATTGATCAAGTTCCAGAGCTAAACTCTGCCTGGACCACTTTGATAGCTCCGGTGTGTCGCAGATGACATCCGGGCTTTATTGAAATTCACGTTAGGATCCGAGGTGCAGGATGCTTGTATCCAAAACCTCTTTTTACGGCTAGGACTGCTGCACTGCCTGCGTGGGACGAAACCCCTTTGAGCCCTGAAACCATTATGAAGCCCCCCGAGGAACTGAGGCGTTGAACCTGAACCCCATCCTGGCAAAAATCACGCCCACCTACCTGTAGCCTGCAACCTGGGCAGCCCATTGACAGACAAAAACAGCCCTAAACTAAACCCTAAACCCCAAAGTTACCCTAAACCTCTAAACCCTAAACCCTAAGCCCTAAGCCCCAAACCCTAAACCCTAAACCCTAAACCCTAAACCCTAAACCCTAAACCCTAAACCCTCCCGAAATCCAGGATCCCCGTGTGGCCCACCTTGACAGTCCCCACAGCTCTCACGGAGGCCGGCCGTGGGGAGGAGTCGATCAAGGCCTTGGCGCTCCCAGTGCTAGGCCGCTCTTCTCTGAAGTTAGGGTTTAGGGTTTAGGGTTTGGGGTTTGGGGTTTGGGGTTTAGGGTTCAACATTCTTTCTTACACATGGGGGTTCGTGTATTAGAGAGGGTAGAACTCGGAACCTGTAGCTGTTCCAACAGTGGTCCTGGTAAGCTTTTGGGACATGTAAGTTTGGCCGTTGGGGTTCTGGGGTTGGGGGGTCTTATGCGGGCATGTTCGGCAAGTTTACATGTAGAGTCTTGCTGGTCCAGTTTTCTCGGGGGAGGGGAGGGGACTCAAATACACCTCCTGGACAATATAGGGACACTTCAAAATCTTGAGCAAGCCCTTACTGAACCTTAAGCCCGCAGCAAAACCCTATTCACCTGAGAACCTGGACAAACACGCATGTTCAATTTTCCGTGATGTGTGTGAGCAAAAAACGAAAAATACCCCCTAGGAGGACTAGTCGTATGAGCAAACATGAAAAATGCCCCTGAGAGGACTCGCTTTACATGAACATAACCCCTAAGAGGACTACATACAGCCTTGACGCTCCCAAGCCCCTTTGAGGCTCCTGAACCCGAGACATCCCACTCTGGGGGCCCGACCCTCTCCCCAAAGAGCTGGCCCGGTTCGTAGCGCCTCACCTGTAGTAGGGGTTTGGGGGTAGGGCTTCGACTCTAAAACACTCCTACAAGGCAGGCAAGTCTTGTGTAGGGCTTAGGGTGCTTAATCTTAGGGCTTGTTTCTTGGCCACCCTCCCAGCAATCTTAGGGTCTTAGGGTTTTAGGGTTGAGGGTTTATAGGGCCTAGCTGACCCTCAAAACGCAGAGTGGGTTAAGGCTCTTTTCGGGTTCAGGGCTTACTGGCAAAAGGCCCAGCAGGAAGGTTTGGACCTCAAACTGAATGGAGGGCTCTGAAATGACGAGGTCTTGGGGGTCCTTATAGGGAGGGCCCGGAACGTAAATCAACCCCCTCACATGATTGCCGAGGAGTGAACGGAGGGCTCTTGCAAATCTATCGCGCGGGCATATGAGACTCTTGGGTGTCGCCCCTTCTTCGGCTCCCGCCTCGTTCTCATTCCCCTCGAGGTCTTTCTCCGAGGCTACACACTCCCCATCCTGGCCAGCTGGTGCAGTACAGGTCTTTTCTCCCAATCCTAACGCGTTTTGCAGCTCGGACTCAGAAAAACCCCCGCCCCCAAACCCAAAGAGTCCACCAAATTTACCAACCCCAGCCTTGCCTCTAAAAGGTAGAAGTGGTGACCTTCGTCGCCTTGCTTGAAGATGGTCTCGTTATCCCTCGGAAGCGGGATACAGTCAAGGGCCATGACTTGCTCCAGAGCAGCTCAACAAAGCTCACGTAACCTATTATATGGGCGTATAGGGTTTAGGAGACGGAGATGGAGGAGAGAGAGCGCAAAGAGAAAGTGAATGTAAATTTGGCTTTTGCAGCATGGTAAGCCAAGCACTCGAACCATCTCCTTTCGAACGCTCCTGCAAGTGTTGCCACCTGGCACGATGCAGGTTAACCAGCAGCTGTTCGAGTGATTTAAATGGTCTGGTTCCAGCATACCAAGGATTATCCTCAATCCTGAGCCAAGCATACAAAAATGGACATGGTAATGTCGTCTGATGAACGTCTGCCATCCGAAGGCTGCCTGCACGTCATTGAAGGTATCGAACTCTTTGATCTTGCGGATGAGATTTTCCTGTTGGCAAGGCGGATTGGCCGCCTTCCTTGAGAAACCCCCCCCCCAGAAGACCTTTGGAACCGAAACTTGCCCCAAAATTGGGATCAGAAATACCCGTATGGACCATCAAGTCACTAAGCCTTGAACCTTTTTTGCCACTGGAGTACGGTCTAGCCAGGTCTACGCCAAACCCTAAACCCTGAACCCTAACCCCTCTTCCAGAGCCGGGGACCATCAGCATGATTACCCGGCACCGCCTTGAACAAATTGCAGCAGTCTGACTGGGGGTGCATCTCGGGAGGCGGAGGGGGGGTGGGAGGGGATCAGATTTCGATGGCTCGAAGATGACATAGGGCTAGATAGGGATTGGGGCCCAAAGGCGTTTGCAATCCATTTCAAACCCAACCGCAGTGTGGTTTGAGGTCGCTCAGACCTCGGACCTCCAGGGGGGGGGGGGGGGTTCTGGTCTCAAGCGTGGCAAGGCCTCCCTCAAGCCTCTGAACCTGCAAGAGAGCCAGTCTCAATGTGCGAAGCATCGACCCCTCAACGCTCCTTGTGATCTCGTTCCGCGATCATCGACACGAACTCCTCACGACCTGAGCACGTTCAACAGGTTGCCGTGACGAGGTTCTACTAGCAGAAGCCCACGGGCCCTTCCGTCCATGGCTACAAGCCGGCCCTTAGAAGTCTGGCTGGTTTCCGGGCTTCTTGGTCGGGTCTTGCTGGGCAGGGGACCCGTGGGGAGACACACACCACGCAGTGGAGGTCTAGGGGGAGTGGGCTTGGAGACGCTATCTAGGGCTTTCGTATGGCCAGGAACCAAAGGAAGAATTGCTCACTCGCGAAGCGCCAGTTTGAGGTTTCGGGTCGGAGAGGCCCTAAACCCAACAAGCAGCCTGAGCACCATAAACTTGAGATTGGACTAATTAGGAACTCCTCCCCGCCTCCCCCCCCCCCCGCCCCCCCGCCTACCCAACTACTTTTCCCAGTATGCCCAGAGTGCCCACAACTTTAACAACTTTAAGGTCCGCTAACTACACCCTTTTTGAACCCGTGCCGACGCCGAGGCGCGTGATGGTCTAACCAAACCCTAAACCCTAAATCCCCATAATCCCTATAACCCTATACCCTTAAGTGGCCCAAAACCCGAAGCCCTAAACCTCAAATGGATGCCCTAAGCCCCTAGGCTCCGTCCAACGGCTCAGGTCCTGGCTGAGCCGTAGCAGCTTCACATCGGTGCGTGCTGTTACCATGGCCCCTCGTGGCTCTTTCCTGCGAGCAAGTGGGGGTTTACGATAGTAGGGGCACCTTATTGGGGTCCTTGTTATCAGGCAATCCTACTACTTGGAGGACTATTCTTGGGGGTCCCTAATATTCGGCCCAGGGTCTAGGGTTGAGGGTTTTTTTTGGCACCAACATAGCTGGACTTCCGAGTCCGTTCACTCTTCCACTCTACTTAGTCACTCTGCAGCCTTGTGCCTCTACTATTGTTAGCCTCGAGGGTACAGGGCTTAGGGATGATCAGAACTGTGGCGCGAACTACAGGGTAAAGAGACGGCTTGTGAAGGCCGCACTGGTTTTGATCTTCCCCTGCTTTCTTTCGCTCTTCCTTCCTTCATTCCGCGCTCTCTCGCTCTCTCTCTTCCTTCCTTCTTTCCTTCCTTCCTTCCTTCCTTCCAGAGCCCGTAACCCCCGAAGCGGTGGGCCCTAGGGGCACGCTTTACAGAGCCCGTTGGTGTGAAATTGACGCTTTGTGGCGACCTCCCCTACCCAGGTTTAACAATGACTGACATATGCGACAACAGATGCTTTATGGCTGGTGCTCCTTCGAGGACATTGCCTCTCGGGGCTAGGTGGTCGTTGGGTGAGGTCTTTCTTTCTCGATTCCCCTCTCTTCATCACTCTGTTTCTCCAACTCTATCTGTTTGCCTTCGTCTTCTCCCTGTTGGGGAGGGAGGCGGAAGGGGGCGGGGGGGAGTCAGGATCACCAATGTCACAATCAATAACCAATCAACGTTAGCCTTCCGCTCCTTCTCTATGGAACTCCTATTCCATGACCTATCCAACACAACTAGTAAAGAAACACACACACATATATCTATATATATGTGTGTGTGTGTATCACGTATAATATGTATGCGTGTATATGCATGCGAACACATGTATGTATGCATGTATATGCATGCATGTACCTATCCAAATATAACAACAAATAAAAATAAACACTATATATATATATAAGGTATGTATATGTATATATATATATATATATACACAGACATACGCACGCAACAATAATAGAAGATACATCTAAGTATAAACACGCATATATATATATATATATTTATTTATACACATCTATATATATATATATGTATATATATATATATATATATGCATCTATAGAGACTACTACCATGATCACAGCTCAGATGTTTGGACCATCAGCCCTCCGCATCGTCCTGAGAAGGGCTCGCTCACCGAAGAAGCCTTCCAATGTCAAAGGGCCGAGTCAGAACATCCGGCGCATGGCGGTTTAGGGTTTAGGGTTTGGGGTTTAGGGTTTAGGCTTTAGGGCTCAGGGCCCGCCATGTGGTGATGGGTTAGGTTTTATAGGGCCCTTTTTGTTGCCTCACTTGTGCCGCTAGGTTTCGGAAGGTTTGAGGTTTCAGGCTCAAGCTTCTGTGTCAGCACTAACCAGATATCAGCCGCTGGATTAACGTAGGGTTTCGCTGGGTTCCGAGCTGTTGCTGTGTCACGGCTTGTTTTGCAGCTTTGACATCTCAGCTACCCGTAACTGAACCCGAAACCCAGGCAAGCTTGCCGAGGGCCCTGCCCACAAGCCCACCCCCCAAGTTTCCCGAAGCTCCACAGCCTGCACTAACAGAGAGTCCTTGAAACCCGAATCTTGGCCCTAAAGAACTCCTCTAAGCCAAATCCCCGGTTGTCAAAGCCGAAGGTGGCAACGACAAACTGAAGCTCTTTACCCATAGCCCAGTAGGAAAACCGCCGAAATCCTATGTCCAACCTCCCACCCTATGAAAAAGGAAGCCCTGAACCCCTGAACCACAAGCCTCCTGGCTCGTAGCGGACAACTTCCCTCCACTTGCCGCTGATCTCGGGGAAGCAGCTCCGGGAGCAAGCCACCAACAAATTTAATTTGTTTCTTATGTTGCTTGACATTTTGCTGGAGCTTCGGGCCTCCGCAAATAGCACGCAAGCAGTTGGGGCGTTTCCAGGTTTTATTGAAATTTAGGCTACCGAATGGGGTTTGGAGATGTGCCTCAGGGTTTTCTGGCTGCCAAAGACAAGGATGCCTGCTGAGAAGACTGCAACGTACTGCAACCAAGCATTCTCAAGAGGAACCCTCGACCCCCTGACGTCTCAGCTCCGTGCTTGAATTTGCGCGAAGCACTCCCCCGCATCAACAATGAAGCAGTCGAAGCCTTCGTCGCCTGCGCGGAACATCTGTCGGGATGCCAAGTTTTAGGGCCAAGTGAGGGTCCCTTTTGAAGGTGGGCTCGTTTTCTAGAACCTAAGAATGAAGCACACATGGGCCGCACCCTTTTTTTGCTGAAGGGAAGAAGGGCGCAAGTGGGGGCATCAGTCGCTTTCCTGCAAAGGGGGGGAGCCTCGGCCTACGTCACCAGGTTGCCACGCAGCTGCCAGAGTTCGCCCCAGATTGCAAGCTGAACCCATGTCAACCCGTAACCATTTTTTGCGCAAGGGGGCGTGTGAGCCCGGAAGCTAACATCAATATTGCATGACCATGGCTTGCGGTGCAAGAGGCCTTGCTTGATGATGTCCTGTCCAGCCTGCCGCAGCTGCAGTCTGGTACGATCCACGTCAGGTGGGAAGTTTGGGCTGTGACAGCCAAAAGATGCAGGGATCGAGCATTCTTCAAGGGTAAACACAGCTGCAGCTGACATTTCCCAGTTCTCTCGCAGACTCCAAAAGTGGCCCTCCCCCCAAGTGCAGTCATGTGGCTGGGTAGGTGACAAGCCTCGGACGAGTTTGCATGCCAGGATCTGCTCTCCCCTTTGCTCACTTGGTAAAGTGCCCCTTCTACCGATCGACCCAACGCAAGCGCAGCTCCATAGGCCTAAGTCATGGAAGCATTCTGCTCGTTAGGCCGGGGTAGGCATGCAAGGGCCCAAACATGCCTAAACCTTATGATGAGCCGAATCCCGCAACAACCCTTAGCAACAGACCCTTTTAGTTACAATTTAAAAAAATAATGTACAACCAGACATGAAGTCCTGCAAAAAACACGCCAAGCACACCAAACATCCCTGTCTCCCTAAACTCAATCTCTATACCCACCTTCCACGACATCTGGATTGCAGCCGGGCTTCTCAAGGACTTTGGCGCATTCCTCTATTTCGAGCTCGCCCTGGCAAGTCTTTAGGTTTGTTGGGCTCAGGGTTTATCGGGCGCTGAGGTGCCCCAAGCGACCCTGATTCTCAAAAGCAACATGAAGCCGATAAGTCAGGGTCCTTCTAAGCATTGTAGGGGCACATCAGGCGGGCTTCGGGTTGAACTTGTCGTTCCTACATCGGGTCTTAAGAAGACTCCTCTCATGAGGCGCTTGCATTCTTGCAGCCCTGTTTTAGGAGGAACGCGGGCTCGTCAAACTGGGTGCCTTTTTGCTAAGGAGCTTGGATAAAGCCTGTTCGGGCTTAGAGGTTAGTGTCTATATGGAAATGAATTCGAGTTCCTCAACACACATTCCTTGGCCTGGAGCCGTTGGTTGCTGCTGCTTTACGCTTATGTTGTGAGGGGTCTCAAGGTTCTGTCCCAAGATGCAAGAAGAACTTGGCAGGGCTAGCGACAAGTTACCTGATCCCTATCTCCCAAATAAACCCTGCTTTTATGCCATCTGAGCCCTTGTGCAGTGGCTGCAGAAGCCTCCTTCGGAATAATACCCAGCCGAGAATTCATACCCAGAGTAACCATTACCAAAAAGGTTTAGGGTTGAGGTTTGGGATACCCACATCTACAAGGATACCCGAATGGTCCAACGGCTGACATCTTGCAACTTCTGTCAAGAATGCCGGGGGCACGAAATTCCTAGGCAAGCAGCGCGCGAATGACACTTGACCGGCTCTGCTGCTCACATTCGAGCTACTATAGGGATACTAGTGGGCGGCGGCATGAGCTCATGAACAAAGACACAGAATGCTATGATTTGGGTTGTTCCCCCTTACACTAACAGTCCTTCATAGGGATTATCATAGGGGGAACCATGATCCCTACTAAGGACTGTTAGTATAAGGGGGAACATCCCAAGCTATGATCCTCAACGGCCCAGCGTCTGGAACAACTTCACATTGCGAAGTCGATCCTTTCGGTGCTCGATGACCTGCGTCAGGGGCCAGCTCATCTTCAAGAATTCAGGGCTTGCGCAGTTTGCAACAGTAACTCTGGCTGGGTATTTAGAATTCCAGAGGGAGCCCAAGAGCCCCTCACTCTGACTACCGAAGTGAACTCGTGCAGCCATAAGATGCAACCGAAGGAACCTTGGCACTGTTGAACGCCCAGTCGATAAAGGACTCGTACATGATCTCGTTGCCATCGTCTCCGACGGCTATATTCAGGATCCTGCGCAAGGCCAAAATAACGGGAGGCCCACTAGAAAACCTTAATTTCGAAAAACTGCCCGAGTGCTTGCGCACTGCGTCGTCTTTGTTCATGGGACACGCCGCTTTGTGGTTTGTCTGGACTTTGGGTCTGGTTTCGGGTTCTTGGTACAAGGGTTCAGGCCCCTGTTGTACACAGACGTTGACACGGCGATGGCACAACCGAAGCTACTTGAGCTCGTTGCAGGGTTTAGGGTAGTCCCCACCACCCTGTCCTGTCGATTTCGTCCGGGTCGAAGTGGCCCAAGTTCTGGATCAAGGATCTGAGGTCCTCCTTGCCCTGGGTTGCAAAGCTCTTAACATCCTAGGCCCGAACGTTCTCGCTGATTTCGGGGCTGGCGGGTTCTCAGGGGGGCTAGCCCCCTGAACGCCTGCATCCGAAGCAGGCTATAGAAAACCAGTTCGCAGAGTGCCAGTTTCATAGTGTAGTCCTTCTTCCGTCTATACCAGCAGGCAGGTCGCATCTGAGTCATCTACGCAACTTGAAGGCTAACTACGATCAGGGACAAACCAATAGCTGGCAACATCCAATGCAAGCTTCAATGGTGCCGGTCTCATTGTCATCGAACAGCTGGAACTGCTCCTGGCGATGCGAGGTTCGTGTGATTGGTACACGGTCTGACCGGCTCTAGAATCACAAAGGGTGGCTTACTTCCTGCCTTGGCAACAAGACAACATGAAGACAGGTCAGAGAGCGCTCTGACGGCCTGCCTTGACGGCAATGGCACCGTGCACCATGTCGACTCCTGCATACCTCAACACAGTGCGATGAGTGGCGTGGAGTACAAACTTTCTGCACAAGATGACGATGCAAAAGGAACGGTCAGCTGACGGATTGCCATCAAGCCACGGTTCTGGTTCTGCACCAGCCATAACGCAACGAGTGCATTAACATCCCGACCCCACTCCTCCTCTAATGAAAGGCATCGCGACACTTGAGCCAAATGTCAGAGCACGTGGGAGTGTCATGGCGGCTTCAACAAAGGCTGTCCCCTGTCCATGTGGGTAGCATGCGGGATCTAGGTTCCGAAGTGATGTCGCCTGTCAGGAGCACAGCATGTGAAGTTGCATCCACGGATTGGACTGCCGGAAACTAGAGGCCTCTAGACGAGAAACCCACTTCTTCCCCCAGACGTCCATGAGCTCCCTGAATCAAGACATAGCTAGATTAGATTCCAGATCCGAGGACTTCTTGTGCATCCGTACAGCACATAGAGTCCTGTATCACTGCGGCCGATGTTGCGTTCAAGCGCCGGGTCTCTGTCGTTCAAACCCGTCCACAGACGCGCAACGCAGCAAAGCTCGCGAACACTTGCCAGATCTTGCCATGACCCATCTGAACTAGTCTCCCAAATTCCAAACCCTTCCATACCGAGAGTGCACTTTCTGCCCGAATTGTGGAGGCTTCCGAGCCACCAAAAAACCCATGTCTTGTTGCCGTTTAAAACCCTCGAAACCCTATAAACTAAATCCTTAACTCTAAAACCCCTCAACCCGACACCTTCTTAAATACGGGGCCTGTGCTGAGGCCCAAGCCGGCAACAGCTGATCTCTCAGGTCACGTGCCTTCAGTCTCCACTTGTCACCGAGAACTTCCCAATATCCCCTAAGCTAAGGAGGCCCTACCGTATCCATATTTTTCGGTATGTATCGAGAAGCACCACCAACATCCACCACGACGGCTAAACCACATCTTCGGACATTGTGGAGGAAAGAGAGGGGCAAAGCCATTCGTGTTCATTAGGCTTTCTGGAAGCTCTGCCGTGGCTTCCTGGCTATGTATGGCGCCCAGCATTAACATCACCTCCATGCTTAGAAGATCTTCAGTGGGATGGCAACAAAACCTCTAGACCCCTACTAGAGTGGAACCCGAAAGCAGGTGCCCGTGTTCGTTTCACCGGGGGGGGGTGGGTGGGTGGGGGTTTCGGCCTTGACTGCTAACCCTCGCACAGGGAATAAGAACGCTGGGAAACAGACGCCGCATGGTGTTTGAACTTTGTCCAAGTAACGTCCCAGGCACTGAAGAAACAGAACAGTATCAACATACAATTTACAGCATTGAAGCAAGCATATATATATATACACACACATATGTTTACTTACTATTTCTTCATGTACATGTATACATGTATGATGCTTTCCCCTCAGCCTCAGCGAGGCAGAAAGACTTGCCCTTGCTGGCCTCAAGCACCAGCACCCCCAAGTGCCGCTGAACGCGGAACTTGCTCAGCTCCTCCTGGCCGATGGCAGCAATATATATATATATACATATGTGTGTGTGCATATATATATATATATGTTCCGCTAGTAGAACAACTACGTATATGTATAGAGAGAGAGATACTCCCTTGGTAGAAGCATTATGAAAATGTATGTTTAACATGCCCCTGGGTTTGACATAAGCGAGATTAGAACATCATTTACCTTAAGGAAACTATAGACTACCCCCGGCCAAGGTACAGAAGCAAGCTTCAGCGCCAGAACCCCAAACCCGAACATCCGAAAAACCCGAAACCCAACACAGAGGCTGTACCGAACCTGCCATGAAACACGCAAACAAACACCAACGGAACACCAGGAAAGACCCCGGAAACCTACACAAAATCGATATAGCTATCCATCAACGCACTTGAGAAAAAGAACCTCGGTGACCCACCTGAAAGCGGCCCATCAACGCCACCTGTGTTAGGGGCTCAGTTTCCGGGAGTCGTGCCACCTCAACTGCAGGTGAGACCCACATCTGGGGGTTTTTAAGGTGCAGGAATTGGGAGTGTCTTGGTGAATAAACCTCTCACAGCAGCCGCATCGGTTAAATTGCCTGCCTATGTACTAATGAAATGCCTAAGCCCAACCCCGAGTCCCAAGGGGCCTACAAGGCCCTCCTTGCATGGATATGTGCTTCCGAGAGGTTTGCGAGCTTCCGAGGTTTCGCATCATGCTTCATATGGGAGCCACGGCCTGCTCCGACAAGAACTCGAGTGACTCGAAGGTATGAGGCAGCTTGCTGAAGCTCACCTTCGACACTTCAAGCTATATAGCGACAACCACCACCTCACATGTTGTGAAAGTTCGAAAGCTTTCAGTGAAAGTTCAGGGCGCCAGGAGGCCATCACAGAGCTATTCCCGCACGATTCGTTGCCGGTACCTCCTCCCAACACGACAGTAGCCCTGAGGCCTTTGAGGGTCCACTGCAGCCGGCCTGGTCCCACTCTCTCTGGTACTCGTACATCCTCCTGTATGGCTCGTACCTCCAGCAGGCATGTTAGGATTCTGTCGAAACACAAACATTGGGATGACACATTCGGACATAAAGGGGCCTAACAACTAAGAACAGGAAAACCCTACAGTGCTATGGTCCAATGAGGAATCATGGACAATGAGCCCAATAGACAGAGACCCTAAACCCTAAAATACCACCATCCCGTTGAGAGTTTCGTGTACAGTAACCCTGCGAACAGAACACGAATCAGAACTCAAGCGCCGCTGCTTTTTCTGCAAGGTGAATGGGCGAAGAGCTGCTGTGCTCACACTAGCACTTTGGGGTTGAGGGGTTAGGGATTTCTGCAGGATTTTTGAGTTTTTTTGGTATGCTGCACATGCTCTCGGATGACTCGGCTCGTGGCGTCTCGACGGCCAGATGCTGTGCCTGCTGCCGAAGGGCTCGGGCGCGGGCACTTCTCCCAGAGCTGGTTTACCAAATGAACAGAAAGATCATCTCGACCATGCGACTATAGTCTCTAGACGTCCCCCCACTACATTTGGATGATATACCCGGTCAGGGATCATTTGCCGCAAAGTTATCTAGCTGATCTTCATGTCTTGGTCATCAGAAGCTGCTTGAGACTACAAGATCTACAAGCTGCTCTGTCTTAGTAGAGCTTGAATCTCAAAAAGGGCAATCTGCCCCTTGCAGTCACGACCACCAGCCACCGTCATAAGCCCCTCTAATGAGCCCTATAAACCCCAACAGGCGCGGTGGCCTCCTGGACTTGTTCCAGAAGCTTCCTTGGCTCTTGGGTACAGAGCTGAGAGTTGATCTGCAGTATACAGGGCTACAGCCCATGGAAGTTAATGTACCACAAGTCCGTGAACAAGAGGCCTTGTAATCCCTATGATCAAGGCTATTCGTTAACCAAAGATGCCTCGTTTGAAGGGTCCTGGCAAAGACGCCTTTGCCAGCCCAAATTTCAACAACCTCCAGTGACATTTCAGGGTGGCCCAGCCAGGAAAACGGCCGCTAGCTATTACTTGCCGCTGGCCTTAATGTTCTGGCGACTTCTCGTGGGGGGGGGGTGGGGTTGAGGGGGGGCCTCTTTGTGTAGGCCAGGACTTCTGATATCTTTTCCGGATTTCAAGGCACCGACCTCTGTCTGTTGTCCAAAAAGGCATGAAACCCTTCGGTGCGCGGCGGCTGGCAAAATTAAAACCAAATACCTATAAGGCCCTAATTGGGCAATCTAAGCGAAGGAGCGCGCCTTACGTCACAACAGAATAGACTCAAAAAACTTAAACCCACACTTTAACAACATATAATAAATTGACTCAAAAGAAACTTTTTAGACCCATAAACTCTTCTTAAACAGCACTCCAGGCTTCCCTTTCGTAGACCGCAGGCTTTCGGACCAGCTCCTGTGGCGTGGGATTTCAGGGCTTTTGAGGGCTTTTGGGAGCTTCCAGCGGGTCCGGGCGGTGCGAGGGCTTAGGGTTTTTGAGGGTTTGCGAGGCGTCGGGCACTGCCACGCTTTCAACCAAGAGGTCGGTCTCGGTCTCAACGATCTCTTTAAGATCTTCGGGTCTGTAGCTTCGTCGGTTTAGGGTTTAGGGTTTAGGGCCACGCTTTCTGACAACCCTGCCCCCCCCCCCTCAAAAAAAAATAAAAAACAAAACAAAACAAAAACCTCGGAACCCTCTCCTGGAGTTGCGGAGCACTTCGCTCACGGCAAAGGCTGCAGCGCCGGGCGCATGCGCCAGAAGCGACGATGCCTTCCGAGACAGCTCGAACTGCATTTTTTTCGAGGGCCGAAGCAAGAGTGCCCCGGGCTTTGGGGTTTAGGGTGTGAGGGATTCTGGTAGGCTTCCCCCCTCGTCAATAAAAAGGGAGGGGAAGCGCTTCAGAAACGCTCTTGGCGTACCGTGGCGATGGCCGGGACGGCGTCGGCCACACCTGTGCCCATCACGGGACAAAGATTTCCCAAGCATGCCGCCGTCATTTAGGGCCTAGCGGGTTCAGCGTTGAGGGTTTAGGGTTTAGGTCAATTTCAGGCTTGGGGGCGGGGGGCGGTGAAGGGTTGAGGGTTCATTGGGGATGTTTAGGGTTCAGGTCCTCTCGGTTTAAGGTTTTTTCGCGGGCTTAGAGCTGCAGAGAATGGTTCGATCTCTCTCCGAGAGCATTCAACCTTTTGGTGGCTTCCCTGAACTTGGGTCCCCTCCCCCACAAAATACAAGAAATATCTTTTGAGCCCGGACAAACCCTTCAACAGCGAAAGCCTTTTATCCCCTTTTTTTAAATACCCAAGTAAAAGGGCCCCAAACTTCGAGAACTCGCCACTGGGGCCCTGGGGCCGCAACCGGCCATGTCCTCATACACGGCGTTGAAGACCTCTCGGGGCGGAAGATGTCTTGAACAGGGACTTTGGTGCTTGGACTCCCACACTCGCTTTTTGTTGGCTTTTACCGTTCACAGAGCTTATTGCAGTATAGGGCCTGTACCCCGACCAAGACACACACTGGAGTCCCCACCCCCGCCTCACCCCGAAACACTTCTGCTAAACCAGCCGCCTTCAGGAAGGCTTCGGCCGTGGGCTCCAGGAGGACCTCTTCTAGTTTTACGCTTGGGGTTTCGGGGTTAGGGTTTAAGCTAGGTTTAGGGTTTAAGGTTTAGGGTTTAGGGTTTAAGGTTTGGAGTTTAGGGTTTGGGGTTTAAGGTTTGGGGTTGCTTTTTTTTGCCACCCGCCTAGCAGTCCCCCTCTGGGATCACTCCGCAGGGAACAGTCGTGGTTCGAGAGGAATCATAGTTCGCAAAAAGACCCCGATATTTTTTCTCGGGGTTTTGGGTTCAAAGGGAGCAGACTGAGCTTCCGCATGAACTTGTGCCATTGTGCAGGTACGGCCTTCGGGGGTACATGAACCCTGCATCATAACCCTATAGGAAAATGGGGATTGCCCGTAGCAATTTTCGGGTAAAAAGACCAACTCCGCTTGGGCGTTTGGTCCACACGCATTGCTACAGGTAACACCATGGTGCAGAGTACATGATCTCAACCTTTTTAAGTAGTCTTGACTTAATAATAACAATAATAATAATACTAATAATTAATAATAATAATAAGAAGAAGAAGAATTTAGCGCACAAGAAATGCGCAGCACAGGTGGCCTCGCCAGCTTTCGCACCGAAGCGAGCCGAGATGGTGAACCTTTTTGTATCTTCATCTTTAAGGGGGGGATGGGGAGGGGATGGGGGCAGGGTAAACCCTAAACCCTAAACCCTAAACCCTAAACCCTAAACCCTAAACCCTAAACCCTACCTTAATGAATCTCCCCTGTGACCGTGTGACTGGATGCTGTGCGCATCTGGGGACGTGAAGGGAGGCGCAGCCGGGGTGTTGTTCTGCAATAGGGGCCCTTCGGGGCATCTCGATTAAAACACAGGGTGTCACAAAAGAGGCCCCCTGCAAAGTCTCCAAAACCCTACACCCTGATACTTGGAGCTCCGGCAATTCAAGGGCGCCACAACGCTTTACCCTATATAAACCAGGTAGGGGCCCCCGAACACATCTTCCCCCCCCCCCCCCCCTCCCCTCCCAAACGCAATTTTTCTCCAGACCCCCTCCGTTCCCAGCCCGGGGGGCTGGTGTGTTGGTGTGTTAAGCGGCCTTGGGTTGGACTTACAGTAAGGGTTTCTTCTGGGGGCGAACTGTGCAGGAATCTTGTAACTTGCGGGGGTATAGACAAAGTCAAGAAGCCAACTCCTGCTTCTGAGGGTCGGCGCAAAACAAACCCAAAGGCAGTCCACACATAAGGTGACTAGTAAACTTTAAGACCATGCAAATTTTGCAGCCGGGCGGCGGGACGGGTTTGTGTAAATAGGGGGGAGAGGCTGAGGCTGAGGGCGTAGGGTTTCAGGGGCAGGGCCTTATCCTGAGTCTGAGTATCCTAGTCCTGTGAATGAAGGACATGGATGGCACGACCAGGAAGACCCTTGCGTCGGCCCCGCACCCCGCGCCCGCATTTAGAATTCAATGCCCTAAGCTGAACCCCTGAGAGCGAGGGCATCTTGCGTTTGCTGTCGGTGGGCCCACCCTCCTTAGCCAAGAGCATCGCTGCGGCTTGGTGGTGGTTTGGTCTCGAAGATGTAGCGCTGACCCTAAGCCCTTTGTTAAGCTCTATAGATATAGATCCATAGGTCATGCGCCAGAGAGTCCTAGAGAAGATACATATCCACAGATCCATGGTTCATGCGCCGGAGGGTCGTAGAGAAGACGACTCAGCTCAGGCCGGCGCCACTCGATGTCGCAACTCCTGAGGCGTTCAACACTGGCTTGACACACCCTAGCGCTCCTTGGGACCAAAATCAACACTTAAAAGTAAGGTCATCCACCCCTATGCCTCTGTGAGCCCTATGTATGGGATAAATGGACCATCAATCCTCGGCCCGATTCGTCCCCAGTGGCTTGTGGCTACCACTGTAATTCATGGGACATGTTAACTGATGTTAACTGGCTCTGGGAAGGTTGGCAACCTACATTTTCCATGTCTGGAGATGCACCCGTCGCGGCCTTCACTCCAGACGGCTGTTGCGGTCACGGCCAGTGTAACATTTACACATTGAGAATGATTCTTTGCAAACTGCTGGGAAATATCGTGCACGTGGCAAGGAACAGTTGCACAAGCAGGTGACCTTCGCGCCATGTCATTGGTGCCGTTTGAGCACCGTGCCACAATGGCTGCCTGCTTTCTCCGGGCTCATTCTTTGGCATCCGGAATAAAAGCTACCGCTCGAGACGCCTGTAAGTCTCCACTCCTCAGGGACCAATTGACCCCTAAAATTGGGATCAAGATTTCCCTATACTACTCTAATCCCAATATGAAGGGCGTATGGAACAGAGACATTCTTGGGGTTCGTTGGTCCCTGAGGTCCTTGTGTTGATTTACTGCCTGGTTGTTGGGCAACGGTGGGAGTTACAGGCTTCACTCGGTGTGTGGGCCAATTGAGGAATTTGCGCCTAAGGCGCGCAACTGTCGGAGCCAGCCAACCAATTTCTGAAGAAAACATTTTTGAAGGTGCCGGGGAGTAGCCGCATCCGTCGTGTGCGCGTTTGAGATTCATTCTGGCATGGCTGGCTACCAGTCTACAAGTCCAAATGGACCTGGGAAACTGCAACAGCCGGATAGCGTCAAACAGAAAGTCTGCAGAAAGACCAACCAAAGCTCTGCATGAGTGTACACAGGAAGGACCTAAACCATCACAAGGGAGTTAAATAAGCCTGACTATTTAGTCCCGCCGGCGTGCTCCTGAAATTTCCCAGGGCCATAGGCAGACACAGACACACTGCTTCATGTGCCTGCAGTTCTTGCTTGGACTTGACTTGGCGCACTAAAGCTAACACTGCGCCCCCCAGACTACCGCTCCCGGACAAACCCTAAACTCCACTAACCCAAAACCCAAAACCCTAAACCCTAAACCCCGAACCCCTAAAAAAAACACTCCTAAACCTTCCACGGTTTCATGGAAGCTTTGGCAACCTCAGGCTGGTCTTGCTGTTGGTGGTCAGGTCACCTGCGCTTCAGGAAGTTGGAGGGGGAGGGGGGGAGGAGCATTTACATAATTTTGTACTACTATGACCCCTTAAAATATGGGATTGGTTAAGGTTCTTCAGTCTGTTCTGTTGGTATAGGGCACCATTGCTGTAACCCTCGACCTCAACCGAAGGCTTGTTCAGAATGGTCTTGGCTTCCGGCGCTCAGGCTCGCACGACGCAGCTTCAGGGCCGGATTATGCTTCGGCTTCACTGCATGCGCTGCCTTTCAAATCGAGGAAGAGGCTGACGAAGGTGTCTTGGTCGATGAGGCCTCCCAAGTACGCCCACATGCGACAAAGAATCACCACGCAAGGTCAACTCTGGCAAACATCAGCTACATGATTTGCAGGAGAATAAAAAAAATCACGGTCCATTCTGGTCCATTGATTCCGAGACGGGGCGAATAGTACGTAGCATAGAGTATATTGCACAAGGTTGCTCAACAATTCAGCTTGGCGTCCGAGGCCAGATGAGGTCTGAGCCCTGAACTTCCTAAAACAGACTAGCTCAGGGCATGCCAGCTTGGCGTGGCGTGGGCTGAAAGCACCCTTTCACCGCATCAAGCCGAACCCCTAACCCTTTTTCCACCCCCGAAACCCTCGAACCTGAAGCCCACCACGCTTGTTCGGTGTAGGGCCTCCGAAGTCGCTGGGCATCAGGGCTTCAAACAGCACATCAGCCGCTTCCATCGAAAGGCCCATCTTCCTTGGGGGACTACATGAGCCCGAAGAAGGCTCTTTGGTCCATGAACCCTAAACCCCATTTACCTTAAGATCGATTGTGAAAGTATAGAGCATATGATCTCAACTTCCGGGTTCCAGGGTTCAGGATATTGTTGGGCTGACAGCTGCTGGCCGATCGAGCTAGCAGGCCACCCTCCCGCATTTTGCGGCTGGACTGCCTGCCCACAGGTCTCTCAGAAAGTGACTCTTGAGGGTTTAGGGATTGTCACAAGTCACCTCTAACCCCTCACGCAGACCTTTACTGAGTGGAGTGGCCTACTGGCTTCGATGGGCTGTGTCACACCAAACAATCCAGTACAACTCTAGGCTGTCGCTGAGATGCTTGACGAAGAACCTCAGCTCCTTCCTTGGTTTTGAAAGCATCCGGCGGGCACAACAACAAGCTTTTGGCATCGCGCAGGCTCGAGGCCCTCTCCTGCAGCCCAAGCGGCCTACTCACCTTCCCATCCTTGTCCAAGTCCAGGTCGCCTCAGTAAGCTCTCCGCAAGAGCTAGCAGAGGAGCCTATCTGAAGAGAAAGGGACTTCGGAGCAGGTATAACACAGTCATAGCTCGTAGACTCAAGCGTTGCCAGTCATTCCATGTCGATTTCCTGGCCAAGTCGCGAAAGGCTTGCCGAGCATTCCTTGGCAGCTGAGTTTCTCCTTAAGGTCCATATATACCTTCATAGGCAGGTTCGTACAGTAAAAACCCAATTTCTAGGGTTCATGTGGTCCAGCGAGCTGGGCAAGGCGGGACTCTGAACCCACCCTAAACCCTGTGAACCCTTCGTAAACCTTGGCAGAAGACACTTTCTTTTCAAAACCCTAAGCTCTTCAAAGCCGGCAGCCAAGTAGCGCATATTTCGTCAGCATGCGGTGCCCCATGGCATTCACTACTGTCGCCGCCTGCATCGACCTGCTTGAGCTGGCGAACCCGAGGCGTAGCAATGTGGGTTCAGGGTTTAGGGTTTGGGGACCCTGCACACCCTGTACACAGTGGGCTAGACGAACCCATACCCCTTCTAGGGGAGTATCGCAGTCGAGGGTACATGCTCAAATTTTGGCTTCGTACTTTGAGCCCTAAACCCTAAACACTAAACCCTGACCTCTAACCCTGAACCCTCTTCACAATCCCTTTTGGTCCCCGAGGAACAAGCCAACGGAAGCATCCAAAACTTCCAGCAGAGCCCGAAACTTTCTCACTCCGCGCCTGCCCAGATCTGCCAGGCCGATGACAGGCGCCTGAAAGGGTGCTGGTGTGTCTGGTTAGGGTTTAGGGTTTAGGGTTTTTTGCCACCCGCCTAGCAGACCCTCTCTGATCCAGGGTTTAGGGTTTAGGCTGTTTGGGGTTTAAGGACGCTTGTCTGCCACCCACGTAGGGATGTTTGGGGTTAGGGGCTTAGAGGGCCTCATTGGGTAGTAAAGGAAGCTTGTGGAGGGTGAGTGGACCAGTTCCTTGCCCTGTGTTCTTAACTCTGAAGGCCTTAGATGATGCAAGTTGCTCGTTCCACCTGCCGATGGGCAGGGGTGAGTACTTCGTCGAAGTGCTCCAGGAACTCGCTGAAGTCGACCTTCGTTTTGTTCTGGGTTTTGTAGGGTCTAGAAGCTCCAGAAGATTCTTTGGAATGTGGTGCTATGTACCCTGCCCGCGGTCTACTAGCGTGTCGAAGCGTCGACTCTCTCCTACATTTCCGCAAAACGCCCAACGTCCCATGGCAGAACTTCGGACGTAAATCTCGTGAAGAGAAGCCCATGTCACAAGGCAGCATGTGCACTTGACGGGTATGAAGGGCCTTCCCGGTCCCAGCTGGGTCCAGGAGGTTGAAGACCTGATCTGCGAAGCTCTGAGACCTCAAGGCGATTTCAAGTTGCATCTCCTCCACACTTGGCCATGTCGGCCCTATATAAACCCTTCTTCCATCAAGTCCTAAAACAAACGAAGGGTTTTCTGTTATCAGGAGCATGTCTAAGGGTCTCTCACATGCTTCCAAGCCACTTGTTGAACCCGCGGAAGAAGTCCCTCATCTCTTCCTTGCGAATGATGCCGTCCTTTGCGGCACATAGAAGCTTCATGGCCTATGCCGATTTTGCCTGAAGGAATCAACCCCCGCCCAGGGAGCCCAAGAATAGAACCTGCAGGAAATACAAACCCAAGCGGCCTCTTGGGCTTTTGAACACGAAGTGAGGTACCTTCCTCCAGGCTAATCCAATCACGGCTCCTTCTGTAGATCCAGCGGGCGGAGGGCGTCGCGAGGTCGCTTGTAGCTCATCCGGATCTTGTAACCAATGTCCTTTGCTTTCTGAGGGGAGAAACTGGGACCAGGCCTGGTCGCAGTTGTCGCTTCCCTCAACCATATAAGCCATTTTAGGGTTTGTGTGGTCCAAGTAAGCTCTAAGAAAGAATCAGGTTTTGTGGTGGGCTTGAAGCACGAGAAGGCGTTTGCCCCAGTGATCCCCAGTGAAGCGCAAAGCCGTCCAACCCCGACTTCCTCTCAGATCTCTTAGTGCCTCATAGATGACCAGACTCTACCGTGGGATAGGTCATGACAGGGCAACCGGGGCATCCGCAGTTGCACCATGCGGGGTCAATCAATTAGGGATTCGAACGAAGTCGCGCGTGTCATGAAGGTGCCCCCATGCGTAGCAGCATGGTCAGACTCAACTCGGAAGACTGCTGCGCACCCCCTGGAATGTGGAACGCACGACGTGGACATGTGGCCAGGTATTGTGCTAAAACCTTTCGCGTTTTGTCTCGGATGTCTCTCACACACCTTTCGTCTCGGATGTCGCACAAGCACAAATTACAAACACACCCTTTGAGAGCCATGCAAAAGCACTGAATTCCATTGTGTTTCGGTTTTTTCAGGGTTTGGGGGGCTTCATGGCTCACGCCTCCCCTGAGCAGTTGCATGTAAGGCAAAGATGGTACTACCTGAATATCCGGTCTGGCGTCCCGCATCACCTCCCGCAGTTCCTTTAGGAGTTTGCCGTCCACTGTCTGCTTGAAGCTGAACAAGGTCTCCTCGAAAACAGTTGCGAACGTTGAACTTGCTAATCTAAGCTGCAGTGTTTTGGGCTTAGGGTTTTAAGTACTTCTGGCCATGGGGCCAAGCAAGATCCTACAGACATCATCCAAGCTGCCACGGGCTTCTGTAAATTTCATTCCGGATGGAGCACGTGTCCAAGAGATATTGAGACACTGTGCATCTCCGAGCAGAATCAAACTAATGAATGAATAACCCGAGCCTCACCTCAGCCAACATATTAAACGCACCGCGAAATACGGCACAGGTATGAATCCACGCCTCGGCCGGTTGGTAGAACTTGCTCCGAACTGGCCTGAGCTGGGGCGAAGCTCCATAAATAAATATATGTGTATATATATATGTGTGTGTATATGCACGGATGCTTCAAATGCATTCACATAATATACACATATATATGTATATATTATGTTTTATCTCTATCTGTTTGACTCTAGATTACATTGCATGCACCACAGGCTCAGGGTCCATAAACCTTAGGAAGACGAGGCCGCGACTCCTCTGCCTCGTCCTCAGTGGCGGGTGCGCGGGGGAGGTCCTTCTTCTTCGGAATCCTGCCACAGGGCCAAGGCTTTCGGCTTTCGGCTCTCGCACTCGCACAAGGCAGGCAAGGATTGGCTTTAGGGTTTTGGGGTGTTTTGGGAAACTTTTATGCCAAAAAACAATGTTGGACTTAGGTGGAAGGAATGATCAGGCTGCAGGGTGGAAAGTCCCGGGCTGAGATTGGCTGATAACTTGGGGACTCTAAAGTGGTAAAGCGATTCGCGATTCTCGTAGCAAGGGGTATAGGATATCGGATATATGATCCCCCTGTCAGGCCTAGGAAGTGCGCAATTTCACAAAGACGGGCTTGGCCAAAGTATGTCTGCGCATGCAATGCCGGGCCCAGACCCCTCCTGAACGAACCATAGTCAGGCTCGCGGACAAAGCAATCGTCCAGCGCCTGTACATCAACAGAGCAAGGGCTTTCTGAGACAGACGACAGTTCCGGTTCTCTGAAAACTGCCTCTTGCTGGCTTTCTCCGAATGAGTAGAGGAAGCGTGGTGCACTCGCACAATCATACCGATGGTCTTCATGCGTGTGCTCTTTCCAGCATCGGGGTCTTTCGGGTGATGACATGTTCCGGGAGTCCTGAACTGCCATGGCCTAGTATAATTTCAGGCTAATCCATCCAACAAAGTACAACAAATTAGTAAAGAGCCCTCCGCCACCTTGGAGACCACATGAACCCTAAAATCGAAATCAGATACCCCGTGCTGCGATGATCCCTCTTCACTGCTTGTGGATATGAAGCTGAGGGCTGATTCAGCCTCCCCCAACTCCAGAAAACCGTAAATCCACCCACCCCCCCCTCCCCCCCCCCCTCATTGATGCCGCCTCGGTGAAGATGGCGTGAGTCACTTCACCAGAGCCAACCTCTCAGAGGGAGGGTTTAGGGTTGACCCCTAAACCCTTCAGTCCTAGACAATGCCATGGGCCTTGCAGAGGTCAGGGAAGAGGAGCAGACCAGCGGGAAAGGGAGGGAGAGGCATCCCTAACCCGGACCCACTCGCTAAGCAGAAAGGCTCCACCGATTCTGTGAAAATGGGGGTGCCCAGGGGCTCATATTGGGGACTACATTACAACGAGGTGTATGAACCCTCAAGGTGTTTTATAAACTCTAAAGGGGCTTCTGGTCCAAATACCTTCAGGAGTATCGGGTGGTCTCTTTGGCAAGTCTTGGGGCTGATAAGACGGTTGCCAGCCACCTCGGCAAGGCGGTCGTAGAAAGCCTCCGCGCTCTCGCCATCCAGGTTGAAGCAGCGGAAGAAGGCGCGAACCCTGGGCCGCTGCTTTGGGTGGGGGTCCCAAGGACAATCAGAAGCTCAGAGCTCGAACAGACGGGGAGCCTTGCCTGATCTGGGGGGGGTATTCTTGGGGGAGGGGTTGGGGCCACATCGGCATCCAATGAAAGAACACAGCGAATTCTGTCTTGCATGCTGCAGCTCAGAAATGAAAAAGGCAGCGCGCGCGGAGACACAGCAGATGTCATGGAGAATGCTGGGGCGGTGTAGTGTGCAGCCACGCGGCTCGTTCTTGGTGATGCGGTCCTTGCCGGGTACACCTTGCGTGCAAAGCACTTGAATGGCCATGCTCCCGCCTTCAGCAGATGACTCGGCTGTACTTTAGGCGCTCCCTGAATCGCCAAACATCTACCCTTTCTGAACACCCAGGCTCGACCAACAACCTTTTTTTTGAACCCAGACTCAGAGCCTCAGGCCTTTGAACCCTAAACCCTCAAACCCCTCTTTGCTTCCTAAACCCTCATTGCCAGGAAGTGGCCGAGGCAGCGGTAGGCTTTCTTTGGCTGCATGAAGGCCCTGCCCTCCCAAGGTGTCGACATGAGGCGCTTGGGGGGGGGGGGGGGGTTCAGGGCTCTTGGGGTGTAGGGTCAATGGTGTAGAGTGTAGAGAGTTTATACCCCCATGTGAAACAGAGCCCTTAGAACTACTTAGAACCAAAAGACTCCCCCGAAATAACCGAAACCCCTGGGGGTGGTTCCGGAGCATCTCCTTGTTCTTGACCGACGCCAGGAGCTCCGCAAACTCCGTCTTGACCTCAGCTCTGGGTCTGTTGAGGTTCTCGACAGGGCTCGCGTAGGGTTTAGGGTTTTAGGGTTCAGGGCTGGGTGGCTGATTGTGATCTACGCCTTATGTTGGGCCTTGAACCTCGGAACAGTGACAGTGTTCGTGGGTCAGCTTAGGCCGATTCCTGTCTGAATCACAGACGGCCCCTAGTGGAAGGAACTTGTGCATTCAGGGTCAGGTGTGCAAGCTGGCAAGAGAAAGCATCCAGGCATGCCTGCGACTACTGATCTTGTTGGCAGATTGCCTTTCAATCGTGTTGCCCCTGAGCTGAGGCCCTGCGCCTCCTTCAGCTGCGCAGTGCGCTCCTGCATGTTATCTTCAGCGACATCCCGCCTGTCGGGCCATGTGTTTTGCGGAATCGCTGGGACAGTTCAGGGCAAGAATGTGAAACCTCATCACTTGTCAAGAAGCCGAAGTATGTAGATTTGGATCTGGTGCTTGAACGCAAGGAGCGAGGACTTAGACGGTGTTAGGGTTGGGGATTTTATCTAGGTACAGTTTGGGCCCACCTCAGCTGCGCTGTACATTGGCTGCAGAAAGAGGTTGGATCATCACATCACACGTTGGATATGACAGCAGCCTTCTCTGAAATACACCTGAAACTCGAAACCCCAGAAGTCATTTGTGGTAATCTCTACATCGGAGGGCCCAGAATTTAGCCCAGGCTTTGGAATCCTAAGAGCCTCATACGGCGCAAAAATATAGCTGACAATCCTCCCTTACGGTCCCTTAACATACTCTAACAATCCCCCCCCCCAAAAAAAAAAAAAAAAAAAAACGATTCCTATTCCTAAAAGCCCCCCCTGTTACACCACTCTTACACGTCCCCATGTTGAGACGCGCCCGAACGGCCGCCTCTGCTCAGCCCCCTGATAAGCTGCGACCAAGAAGGGCCGCATGAAGCTGACCTGGTGTCTCATGAGCAACAGCTGGCGCTGGCCCGGGCTTTCAGACCCCAACCCTCGAGCATCATGAGCATCAGCTGGCGCTGGCCCGGGCTTTCAGAACCCAACCCTCGAGCATCATGAGCATCGGCTGGCGGTGGCCCGGGCTTGCAGACCCAAACCCTCGAGCATCATGAGCATCAGCAGGCGCTGGCCCGGGCTTGCAGACCCAAACCCTCGAGCATCATGAGCATCAGCAGGCGCTGGCCCGGGCTTGCAGACCCAAACCCTCGAGCATCATGAGCATCAGCAGGCGCTGGCCCGGGCTTGCAGACCCAAACCCTCGAGCATCATGAGCATCAGCTGGCGCTGGCCCGGGCTTTCAGACCCCAACCCTCGATCATGCATCAGCTGAGCCCAAACCCTCGAGCATCATGAGCGCTGGCCCGGGCTTGCAGAGACCCAAACCCTCGAGCATCATGAGCATCAGCTGGCGCTGGCCCGGGCTTGCAGACCCAAACCCTCGAGCATTATGAGCATCAGCTGGCGCTGGCCCGGGCTTGCAGACCCAAACCCTCGAGCATTATGAGCATCAGCTGGCGCTGGCCCGGGCTTTGCAGACCCAAACCCTCGAGCATCATGAGCATCAGCTGGCGCTTGCCCGGGCTTCAGACCCAAACCCTCGAGCATTATGAGCATCAGCTGGCGCTGGCCCGGGCTTTCAGGCCCAAACCCTCGAGCATCACGAGCATCAGCTGGAGCTTGCCCGGGCTTTCAGACCCAAACCCTCGAGCATCATGAGCATCAGCTGGCGCTGGCCCGGGCTTGCAGACCCAAACCCTCGAGCATCATGAGCATCAGCTGGCGCTTGCCCGGGCTTTCAGACCCAAACCCTCGAGCATTATGAGCATCAGCTGGCGCTGGCCCGGGCTTGCAGACCCAAACCCTCGAGCATCATGAGCATCAGCTGGCGCTGCCCGGGCTTTCAGACCCAAACCCTCGAGCATCATGAGCATCAGCTGGCGCTGGCCCGGGCTTGCAGACCCAAACCCTCGAGCATCATGAGCATCAGCTGGCGCTGGCCCGGGCTTGCAGACCCAAACCCTCGAGCATCATGAGCATCAGCTGGCGCTGGCTGGGCGCTGGCCCGGGCTTGCAGACCCAACCCCTCGAGCATCATGAGCATCAGCTGGCGCTGGCCCGGGCTTGCAGACCCAAACCCTCGAGCATCATGAGCATCAGCTGGCGCTGGCCCGGGCTTGCAGACCCAAACCCTCGAGCATCATGAGCATCAGCTGGCGCTGGCCCGTCGAGCATCATGAGCATCAGCTGGCGCTGGCCCGGGCTTGCAGACCCAAACCCTCGAGCATCATGAGCATCAGCTGGCGCTGGCCCGGGCTTGCAGACCCAAACCCTCGAGCATCATGAGCATCGGCTGGCGCTGGCCGGGGCTTGCAGACCCAAACCCTGCAGGCGCTGGCCCGGGCTTGCATCATGAGCATCAGCAGGCGCTGGCCCGGGCTTGCATCATGAGCATCAGCAGGCGCTGGCCCGGGCTTGCAGACCCAAACCCTCGAGCATCATGAGCATCAGCTGGCGCTGGCCCGGGCTTGCAGACCCAAACCCTCGAGCATCATGAGCATCAGCTGGCGCTGGCCCGGGCTTGCAGACCCAAACCCTCGAGCATCATGAGCATCAGCTGGCGCTGGCCCGGGCTTGCAGACCCAAACCCTCGAGCATCATGAGCATCAGCTGGCGCTGGCCCGGGCTTGCAGACCCAAACCCTCGAGCATCATGAGCATCAGCTGGCGCTGGCCCGGGCTTGCAGATCCAAACCCTCGAGCATCATGAGCATCAGCTGACGCTGGCCGGGGCTTGCAGACCCAAACCCTCGAGCATCATGAGCATCAGCTAGCGCTGGCCCGGGCTTGCAGACCCAAACCCTCGAGCATCATGAGCATCAGCTGGCGCTGGCCCGGGCTTGCAGACCCAAACCCTCGAGCATCATGAGCATCAGCTGGCGCTGGCCGGGGCTTGCAGACCCAAACCCTCGAGCATCATGAGCTTCAGCTGGCGCTGGCCCGGGCTTGCAAAGCCAAACCCCCGAGCATCACGAGCATCAGCTGGCGCTGGCCCGGGCTTTCAGACCCAAACCCCCGAGCATCATGAGCATCAGCTGGCGCTGGCGCGGGCTTTCAGACCCAAACCCTCGAGCATCATGAGCATCAGCTGGCTCTTGCCCGGGCCTTCAGACCCAAACCCCCGGGCATCATGAGCATCAGCTCGCGCCGGCCCGTGCTTGACCCAAACCCCCGAGCATCAGGAGCATCAGCTGGCGCTGGCCCGGCCCAAACCCCCGAGCATCATGAGCATCAGCTGGCGCTGGCCCGGGCTTGCAGACCCAAACCCCCAAGCATCATGAGCATCAGCTGGCGCTGGCGCTGGCCCGGGCTTTCAGACCGCTTTAGGGTTTAGGGTTTACTCTGCGCTGGCTCTGAGGGTTTAGGGTTTAGGGTTTAGGGCTTAGGGTTCTAGGAGGGCTTGACAGCTTCAGGGAAATTCGGGCTTAGGGTTTTGTTGGGTTCGGGGGGGTTTGAGATGGCTGGGCAGGCGTGTGCTGAGGAGGTCTCCGAAGCCCAACCGTGATGCAGAACTTTGAGCCGCTACTCTGAAAAAAAGTCTCTACACCGAACATCCGAAAGCCCACACTGATGATACACTGATGATGGCAAGAATGACCGGAAAAGGACATGCGAGGCCCCCTGTCCAAGCAATTATCCATGACTGGCCTTGTCGACGCTGTTTGTTGACGTTTTTCCTTTAATCGAGCATGGATACTGCTGTAAGCTTCATCTTATCGGTTTACTGAGCAAACAGTCAGAGCTGTTTATCCCTTGTTGCGCGCGCGCTAGCGCCACGACGCAGTGCCCACTGTCACAGCCGTGGCACGAAGAGGTCGTAGTCTAAAAGATCGCTGGACTCTGTGGCGCCCAAGTGCTTCCAGAACATGTCCTCGGTAATTACTCGGTCAGCAAGCTGCTGCACTGAGACAAACAGCAGAAGCCTTTGGTCCTGGCGCACCCCTCATAGTGAAGCCCTAGAATTTGTCTGCTTCAGTCAAGCGTCAGCGACTGCATCCGTCTGCCCACAAGTCCGGAAGAAGTAGCCTGGGTCGGTTGCTGGCGGGATGAAAACGATCATGCTCACGGAGCTTAACACCAAGAAACTCACCAAGACGTTCAGCAAGCAGGGTGACTTCAAGTCGCCCTATTCCTCAAGTCTGGCAATCCATGGGGCCCTAAACCCTAAACCCTAAACCCTCAACCCCAAGATGTTGCAGCCGCAGCGCGGAGCTCACTGCGGTCGATCTTGCCATCGCGGTCGGGATCGAGACCGCGAAAGACGTCGCCTGGGTCAATGAGCCAACGCACCAGGATGGGCCATTAGCCCTTTAGGGTTTAGGGTTTAGGATTTAGGGTTTAGGGTTTAAAATCCTCATAATGAACCCTATAAAGGCCTTTTTAAGGGATTTTCGGGCTCTTAGGCCTTATAATCCTCATAATGAACCCTATAAAGGGCTTTGTTAAAGGGATTTTAGGGTATAATAGCCCATCCTGGCGAGTGACAGAACATGGAGAAACAGAACTCCATTTCACAAAGGCATTCCAAATATGGTGTGACATGGAACCTTCATCATCTAACAGAAGCTTTCCAGTATCAAAGCAACATGCTTTTTTCCGTGCGACATCTGCTCATCCGACCGTTCGTATGGCAGACTGTACCAAGCACATGAAGATTGCCTGACGCATCGACCGGCTCTTTCATTGTCTTACTTTCTTGAGCTTGGGTGGCTCGTTGGAGATGCCTTGGGGGTGAAATGATCTCCAAAATTGTGAAGAGATAGATACCCGCTGTAATTACTGCAAAATAATTTGAGGTATTATAATGATCATAAATCCGTTGGGGTTTATTCAGTCCTAAGGAGGGCCAACCCAGCCCATTCCTAAATCTGAACCCCAAATGCCGCAGAACCAGCTCAGAAACCACTCCTGGCCATTTTGTTCGTCAGGGCACTGATCGAGGCGAAGCGCAAAGCAGCCTCTCAAGGGGCGCGAAGGAAACGCCTATACATCAACCCCAAATCCACAGCAGCCATCGCACATCATAGGGCTATGAGGGTCATGTCCGCGTTGGAGGTTGAGGTCCGCCGCTTTCTTAACATTCGTGACCCCTCCTTGCTCCAAACGATATGATCGACAGCAGCATCTCCAGCCTCTGAAAAACATTCTCGCAGATCGTCTCCCGAGAACGGAAAATGCAAAATCTCCCAAAGACTTTCCCAGGCTCTTGGGCAGAACGTTGCTGGCTGTGTTGGGTTAGCTCAACTTGCTGTAAATTGCAGCGTATCTGGCTGACACAAGCTCCACACACGATTATACTAGCGCCTTCCGCTTGTTGGGCAGCTTTCTAATTATCAGTTATGAGCTGCTGGCTGTTCGCAGGCTCCAGAAGCGACTTGCTGAATGGCCGTGAACCGCCGACTGCTGTACGTTAACTATGTCGGCTCTTAAGTCACAATGTGCGTGCTGGTTTCAATGTCAGACAACCACATGCAGCATCCGGCCTGCTCAGAGTTTCCAGATGTTGCAAAGTACAACGCTTCTGCATTGACCATACTGCTTGCCAAAAAGAGGGGAGTAATGTCTCAACTTTTGGCTTGGTTGGCTTGGGCTGGCAGAAACGTGCTCTATCTTAAGCAGATGTGTGGCCAGTGTCAGTTCAGACCTTGCACGTTCAAGCGCATAGCGTTCGTCGTAGTCGCTGTAGTCGTTGTTGTCCTCGCAGTGGTGGTTGTCTATGCAATTCCGCCGTTCGTTTTCTTGCTCTTGTTGTTGCTTGTCGTTGTCGTCGTCGCTGTGATGGCTGTGATGGTGGCTCTCGCCATCATCGCTGTCGTGGTTGTCATCGTTGAGGCGCTGGCTGCCGACCGAAGAACCAAGGACCAACCGTTCCGAAGGCCAAGCGCGTACGGGACGGAAAGACTACAGGGCCAAGTGGACAGACCAAAGGCCAAGCCTTAGGGAGGGATTGGAGGTCCCACCAACCGCTAGGAACGATTAAAACAAATCACCCCTTCAGCCGCCCTTCCAGAAAAGGGATGAGGTCCTTTTGCTCTGAATTTTCAGAACGGCACCACCCACTTCACTACCAAGAACAAAACGTTGACGCAGGCTTGGCAGACAACCTCAACCATTCAATCGCATGGTACATGCCTTCGTTTCAAAAATAATATGCATCACAGGAAGCAGCACAAAACAAAAGCATCAGCCTTCCCCTTTGCCCAGCCTTGCTTGCCATGGATTGAACCAGGTCCTGCAGCTTGCGCTCGTCGGCTGTCCTTTGGAATTTTGAGGCGTGCACAGCGCCGCACACGCCAAAACATTTCTTCGGGGACAAACGAACCCACACATTGGGATCGTGTAAATGCACAATAACAATTTTGAATGAACTTATTGGACCGTCGCGCACGCCCTTCTTAATTTCTACCTCCCGCGTAGATCACCGAAAGACTGAACACGAACATGATTCGATAACCGCATTTCGTCCCCCAGGCCCTCGTAAGCACTTCATTTGGGCGTCAATTTCATACACTTCAGCCGATCAGTGGTCGATACTGGGAGTCCTTGATTCCGACACCTTATTCAGCAGCTGACTTGAGCATGCCAGGGGTCGAACACTATGGAGCCTGAAGTATCAAACTATGTCTGCGTATGCTACTCTATGTACACAATGCGATGCCCCTATGCATGCTAATAGGCATGCGCTCAAAAGAACCCTAAACCCTAAACCCTAAACCCTAAACCCTAAACCTCTTATTTGCTGATGAACATGCCGCCAGCAGGCAACGGCATGCGGAGGCTGCCATGCAGCGGGGGCTCCTGCAAGGTCTGGGTTGGCTTAGGGTTTAGGGCTTTAAGGTTTACAGCGCTTGGAGTTTTAGGGGTTGTTGGGTTTGCTTTTAAGCCACCCGCCTAGGCCTAGGCGTCACACAGCGGGGCTTGCTGTAGGAACTTGACCCGGAAGCCCAGCATGGATGAATTCACGGTGTTCTGGGCTCCCAGGCCAAGCTATGAGGCGCCCAGATAGGCGACTACAAGTACCACTTTACAGCCCCCTGAGTTAAGTGAAATTGGCTGGGCTATGGACACCCTGACTGCTTGGGGCTCCGCGGTGGGATCCTGAATTTTAACCAAATCGTCCGGACGCCGCAAGGAAAAAATCCACCCGGTGTGCCTTTAAAATCAATTGGCGGGCCTCGCTGCCCTGTTAGAACTGATTTAACCTCCTCCCTATTGAAATCGTAGAAATGCCGTGGATCTTTGGAGGGCGGGGGGCCATGCAGGTGCAACATTAAGCCCCCCTCGAACCTTGAGATCCCCCCATCTCCTGTACCAGCCGTCTGGCTTCCCTGGCAGACAGACCCCCGGCCGCCACCACGATCTTCTGCGCAGGATCCTTGGGCTCGGGTTTAGGGTTTAAGGGATTGGAATTTGTTTTTGGTAACCAGGGTTCAAACTAGTTTGAGGGCTTTTTGGGCTTTTAAGAGGTTTTAGGGGCCGACGCCATGGCAATGAAGGTGGTCAAATTTTGGGGGATCTTGAACATTTCGGGTGCTTGGGGTCGTTGTCCTTGCAGCCGATCTGGCGCTGCTTGGTCTTTGAATATCCGGGAGGTTCCCAAAGTAGGGGGACCCCCCTGTTTTCGGAAGAAAAGCCTCTTTGTTGGTAGATTTCTGGTCTGTCCCAAGGTGAGGTGCTTGACATCATGCCGCAAGTCGATGGGAAGTATACTTGCTAGCAGCGCGCGCAAAGAGGGCGTGCCAGTTCAAAGATGCAGCAAAGGCAGGCTGGTCTGAGACAGGCTGCAGACATCTTGTCCATTGCTCTGGCAGACAGCGACCCTCCATATGTGCTGTGCCTGAGCTCAAGAGTGCAGCGCAACACATCATCCCAAGACTTCTCTAGTTCAATTAGACGAGTCATTATGGCACCTTTATGCCTCCTAGGCATGTCGCGACCTGTTTCTTGAGGAACCATGTGGGGGGGGGGGGGGGGGGGCCCTTCTGGGATCAACGCCCGCGCTCAAACTCCCAACCCTTTCTTAACACCAGGCCAAATGCTCCTGCCGGACAAAATCATCGTACTTCTAACAGCACCCTTACACCACAACAGAAATGTACAGTTCAGCAATTCCCCCCCAAGCCGGAACGAACGCCGCAAGCCTTTGCAGGACAGGGCGCATGCTCTTGCGGTCGATGGCGCGCTTGCCGTCACGGGAAGCCTCCCTGAGCCAAACCTTGGTGCTGCTGGGTGTGGGGCTGGTTTGTTTCTTGCCACCCGCACTGCGCACGCCAAAGCAGTGGGGGCTTCTGCTGCATGACCTGAGGGCCGCGCGCGCGCGAAGCAGCGGGGTTTGGAGTGTGAGTGCAAAGATTAGGGTTCGGTGTGACATTCCAGCGAGTATAACCGGTCATGCGCCTAAAATTGGCCCTATAGAAGTGCCCCCCAAACAACTTCCTAAACCCTAAACCCTAAACCCTAGAAGGGCCCTAGAAGGGCCCTAGAAGGGCCCATAGAGTGCCCCCCCCCCCACATTCAAACAACTTCATCCACTTCGAACTCGAAGAAAGCCGGGGAGCCGCCGCGGCATCTAGCACCCGATGGCCTCGACGTGGTGTGCATGCAGAAGGTCATGTTCAAATACAGTTTCTTACATAACACGACACCACATGTCATGATTATGCACCGTACGTTACATACATGCATGTGGTGCATCTCCTAGTCGCGATAATAGCTGTCGATTTATCATCTACTTAGTGCGCGAATGCTCGCTTCCGAATTGCGTTGTATGCATCTGCTCGCTAGGTGTAGCTTCGGCATACCGAACTATACTGATCATTGTGGGACATTGTCAGAACAGGGCAGCGCCTTGCTGAATGTCAGGCTCAATGGCGTCTGCATCGATGAAGGCCTTTGCGGTTGTGGCCGGCGCGGTCGGAAAAGAAAAGCGCGGACGAATGCTGACGCTGACGAACACTTCAAGAATTCTAACAACTCTCTGATCTTTCTTGGGCGGGCGCGTCGGGCGCCTGGCAGTCTGGTCGTGTGTTTATCATTTTTAGGAAATTTCGGATGATGCCG